GAAATTCCCTTACGTTGATGACTTATGTTGATGAGCTGTGGCAATGTGGTTTCTAGGTGAAGTGCGTTTCACACTTCCCCCTTCTTTTCTCTCTCTTTGTCTCCCTCTTTTTTCACTCTACTTCACTGTCGCTCTTGTTTCCTTCACTATCCCTCTGTGTCTCTCATTTCTCCCTCTGACCCTCCCTTTAAAAATGTATATTCTCCCCAGCGGCGCAACTTTGGTTTTAGAAGTGGGGGGGACATAACCTGGCAGGGGTCCTCCCTCAGAATTTTTTGGTAATCTAAAGCGCATTTCCTGCATTTCTGCTAGGGCTGTCCCCGACTAAAATAAATCTTGGTCCACCAAGAGTAGTCCTTTTCTTCGACCAATCGATTGGTCGAGATGTTTAAACGTGTCTTTTTCCATAGCCTATATAGACACACCCTATGTGTTTTAATAAAATCAACTATATGTAGGCCTACTGAACTAGTCTGATGCTTTAAACACACTGTTTGATTAAATAATGAAGACACACAAATGACTCAAGAGGGAGCCAGAGATCAAGATAGCCTAACCAGAATAATACAAAAACTGTTCCCGACCCTCCTTTTCCCACTGCTGCTGGCCTTCGCAGATTCTGCCGTTATGCTCCTGAAGTTGCCGGTAATAGGCTACACCTGCGGTTGGCAACCTTTTCCATTTGGAGTGCCAATTTATCTTACAATTTCTACCAATCTGCATGACAGTTATGATTTCATATGCACATTTTCGTGAAACAGTTTCATTTCATTTATAATAGTTTTTGTTTCTCAAAATCATTGGCTGTGGTTAATCTTCATTATAAATCTAAATGAAAATAATACAAATCTAAAAGTAACTTTTATTGCCATTGCCAGCTATGTAATAATAACCTACGTAAAGCCAACACATAAAAACATTGCAGTCTGCAGGTAGAAAATATCCTAATAAAAATAAATATCCTATAAATCACATTGGCAATGCAGGGCCTGTCTGCAACGATCTTGATTTTTTTTAATCAACTATCAACTGGGTCGCCCCAAAACTTGCACTAGCAAACTTTAAACATTGTCTAAAATATTCTGGGCCCTCAGAGTTTCCCGGCGCCAGTGAGCTCGGGACAGACACAGCTGTTGGCTTGTGCAAGGGATAAGAAGTAATCAGATATTTTATGACGTTTCCACTGGATTAGAGCATTACATTTTTCACTTTCATGCTGAGTGGTTATCGAAAGGGGGAGAGCTGGAATTTTTTTTCAAAACTTTGAGCAACTATTGTCATTCTCAATTGATTCTAAAAACAGACTTTATTTACTTGCTGTTTGAGGTGAACAAAAACTACTTTGAGAAGCTCCACAGCTAATTAGTGGTGGTGAGTTAAGACAATAAGAAATACCATCAGACATCCTCAAATGGGAACATTTATAGGCCTACATTTGCTTTCAGGCCAGGTAGACTAGTCCTACTTCTATATGCGTAATCAGGTGCATGTCCTTACTCAACATTGACAGGAGTTTTTTTAACAAAAGACGGTATATAAACTGACAAAACTCATAAATGGAATGAAATAAACAAAAACTTGTTTCTCACAAGTGTAGCATAGGTTGTGAGTTCTGCAAAACACATGTCCACTCCGACAATGAGAACGGTAAATGACTGTAATAATAATACATTGAATGCATTAACAGAAATTACCATAACCAAACAAACATTGCAGATGATAAATTATAGGACGGTAAATGTCGGCTGCTACTGGTGATGTATGTAATGGGGAATTGACAGACACAGTAAACAATGAAGTTATGAAACAACGAATACCCACGAAAAGGCGGGAGAGAGCGCATTCTGGAGACGTGCCTTGTGAATCTGAGCCACATTCCACATATTCTTGGACCGTGGCATCCCGCAGCCTTCTCAGTGGTGGAAAAAGTACCCAATTGTCATACTTGAGTAAAAGTAAAGATACCTTAATAGAAAATAACTCAAGTAAAAGTGAAAGTCACCCAGTAAAATACTACTTGAGTAAAAGTCTAAAAGCATTTGGTTTTAAATACACTTAAGTATCAAAAGTAAATAGAATTGCTCAAATATACTTAAGTATCAAAAGTAAATGCATATATCATTTCAAATTCCTTATATTAAGCAAACCAAATGGCACGATTTTTGTGTTTTATTAATTTACGGAAAGCCAGCAGAGCACTCCAACACATAGACAATCTTTTACCAACAAAGCATTTGTGTTTAGTGAGTCTGCCAGATCAGAGGCCGTAGGGATGACCAGGGATGTTCTCTTGATAAGTGCGTGAATTGGACCATTTTCCTGTCTTGCTAAGCATTCAAAATGTAACGAGTACTATTGGGTGTCATGGAAAATGTATGGAGTAAAAATTATTTAGGAATGTGGTGGAGTAAAAGTAAAAGTTGTAAAAAATTAGAAATAGTAAAGTACCGATACCCCAAAAATTGACTTAATAGGCTACTTTCAAGTATTTTTACTAAAGTACTTTACACCAATGGGCCTCCTCAATGGATTAGTCCACTGAGACAAACGCAAATCACACAGGTATCTCGTGTGCCAAGAAAATAAAAAATATATTTGTGACTGCTCGACTAAAAACAATCTCATGTTTTCAATACAGACTCCATTTGTCAAACATTTAACCATATAAGGCACCAGACCAGTATACCCTTAATCTTGTAATAAATCTAATCTAATGATACACAACTTGATATTTCTGCTATCCATTGTGACATTGTGGGAGGATAACCAACCTTCCAATTAATGGCAATGCATTTCTTAGCCGCTATAAATGCTAGGTTACACAGTTTCTTCAGATAACAGTCTCCAGTATCAACATTTCCAAGCCAACAAAAACAGGGAGAAGGGAGAATCAGTAGACATGCTGAGCTAAAAGAACACACTCTTTGCCACAATTTAGCCAGCCTGCACAAGACCATAACATATGCAAATATGTCCCCTTTTCTCTATTACACTTCTAGCAGAGGAATTACATTTCTGAGTGCATGATATTCAGTTTCACCGGCATATAGGATGTTCTATGGATGGTCTTAAACTGCAGTAATTTATGTCTGAGATTATATGAACATGACTGGGTATTCAAACATATCTGTATCCATTCATCATCATCAATATTGTGTTGTGTACTGACTGTGCACCATGACAATGTAGCCTGTAGAGCTGTTTATATCGTGTCAGTGTGAAAAGTAGGGATTAGCTAGGGAAACTGACAGATCAATAACATTACATTGCTATACTGACTCTAATAAAAATTTACATTGCACTGTCAAAAAATGTCAGAATATCGGTCTTCAATCGTTTGGCCGCTGGTTTCATCGTTGGATTCAGGTCTAGTGTGATTGAGGCAAAAATAATACATAAAGTTAGTGAGCTAGCTAGCTAACGTTAGCCAACTTTTGGCTAGCTCTAATGGTACATCAACTGGCGAAAACCAGCCAAGTTCATTTACTTCTGTTGAAACGGGACAAAAAGGCTACAAAACATTTCCATACACACAACAGCTGTTAGATACTGACAGATAGCTAGAGGCTAGAGCTGAGCTGGCTGTGGTAGCTAATAACTAGCTAGCTAGTTCATTCTCTTCAGACAGAACTTCAGTCAAGAGTGGATTAAACATTAGCTAACGTTACATGTCAGTTACATTACTAGCTCGGCACTGGTAATAAATAAATAAAAATCTGTTAAGTCAAACAGCAGTTACCTTGCCAGCTACATCAGTCAAATAAAGAGTAGCCAGTTTCTGCTCTGCTTGCTTTTACAACTCAAAGAAAAAGCACAACACACAGGGACAGCAGCTGCAGACAGCAGCACTGTGCTATGTCAGACACTTTGTCTTCACACAGCCTATCCGCGTGCTCTGTGGTGTCCGCACGGTCCTAAATCCAGCCGTCTGACACCGCCAAACAGCCTACTGACTGCTCTGAGGCGTCCGCATGGTCCTAAAGCACACCGTTGCCGCTTTTTTTGTATCACAGTGCAATGATAAAAATTTGAATGTGAGTGGGTCATGTCCCCCCCTTCCCCAGTGAAAGTTGTGCCCCTGATTATCCCTAACAGTTTTCTCCTTGACAGAGACAAGTCTGAGAGTGTGGGTTGAACCACAGTGCTCACTGAGAGGCCTGAGAGTAAGAGCTCGTCTGTGTGTTCAGTGTGTCAGGGGTGGGGTTTCAGGATGGCTCTATATGACAAGCAGCGTGAAAGAGAGAGAGCGGGTTTGGGGGGGATTAGAGTGAGAGTAATTTAGCTAAAACAAAAAAGCAGCCTGATAAGAGTCCCTGGAATGGGTCGTCTACTTCTAATCACCCACACCCAGCACCCACACCCAGCGCACACACCCAGCACACACACCCATCCACGTTCCTGCAAACCCCTTCATCTCCCCAATCTTAAATGGCAAGCTGGCACACCTTCCCCCATGGTTGTTACGAGACAGACAGGGTATCACTGGAGGCGCTATCACTCCTGGTGTGGGGACATCTGTCTTCCACCCACAGGCAATAGAGTGACACACAATGGAGGTGTTCTTATTTGGGCTGCTATCTGGGAAAACACACACACACATGCACACAGCTCTGTCAGGGATTCCTGCCTTTACAGAGCTCCTCGTGAATAGTGGAACTCGATGTTCAGTATCTTCTATCGTGGCCAGTGTGACCCTGTTTGACCGTGCATGTTGCTTTGTCCACTGAATTTTCCACTGGGTTTGTTTGAGTGTTTACCACAGGTTCCATGTCTCACGTGTGTGTGTGTTTGGCCAGCTGATTCAAATAATCAAAGCTTGATGATTAGTTGATTATTTGAATCAGCTGTGTAGTGCTAGGGCAAAAACCAAAAGGTGCACCCCTTGGGGTCCCGAGGACTGAGTATGGGAAACGCTGGTCTAACCCTTATCAATGTGTGTTCTCCTGTGTGTCAGGTGTATCAGCTGTCTGAGCACCAGGTGGAGGTGTTACTGGGACCAGGACAACCACTCTTGCCTCTCCATTAAAGACGACTCCAAGCATAGACTGCTAGAGGTGAGTTATCCATCTGTTAAACCACTCCAATCAGACACACTGGCTAGTTTTAGTAGCTCTATTAGTTACAGATCGAGGATCCATTCCCCACTAGTCCTAACCTTAAACATTAGAGGGGAAAATGTCAAACTAAACCCTAGATCAGTGGCAACCAATCAGAAGCTCCTATGATGATCTCAGTCCATTCTGATTTGGCCTCATGTAACATTCTGGCCAGTCATACTAGGTTAAAGCTATCTTACTGATGTCAGCCATTTTTGAAACCGCCCATAAAACACAGAGAGACATGGTTAACAGACTCCTAACGAGATAATGGGCCATGTTAAAGCCTCTATGACCTTCTCAGAGCTCTCTCTCCCAGTTCTTCATGGTGGCGGCTTTTGATAGGCCCACTGGAACCAGTGTGAAGGATAGGCTCATTGTTTCACAGTTTTTCCTGTCTACTGTGCTGTATAATGGTGCACTGGTGTCTAGTTAGCATGTATAGTGCCAGAGAGGGAGGTGCTTTCATCTGAAAATGTTTGTTAGTAATGATGTTTTTAAAATGGTCCAAATCTGGCATGGAGGACTGATCTCAATATTAAACCTCTTTTGAGATATACAAATCTCAGACAAACTTTAATTGTTGTGAGAACAACTATCCCTTTAAGTATTGTTGTGTTACGGCAGGACAAGCTCTATAAGTTCATTGAAGCTATCACAACCCCCTAGACACACTACTCACCTCCTCTGAGCATACCTAGGGTCTGACAGCATCACCACTGTGGCGCAGTCAGCCACCCCTCTCTCATACTGCATTTGGTATTAGAGCCAACAGTAAACTGTTAATGCACAGCAAAGTCGCCCTGCCACTGTTTTGATCCCCACTCACATTCTAATTGAGTCCATAGAAACTGGTGTACTCTGGAGGAGTGTGGTTAGGTGGGTCAGAGTGAGCTTGCCTCTGTTAGTCTGTTAGTCAGCTGGACATACCATGAAATACCATATTTTGATGAATCTTAGATGAAGTTCTGTAAATATGGTCAGAAATAGAGTCTTAAGTCTAGTTTTCTGCGTTAAGCCCCATCCTGCCATCATTACGCCATCGTTGTCTGTTTTTCTAATCCCTCACCACCCCTCCATTTTAGGCTGTTGTTGTTTCCCCTCTGAGCAGAGCAGAGCTTCACCCTCTCATTTCCTCCTCCTCTCAGCCACATAAACAGGACAGGTATTTTTGGAAGCGGATGTCTGTGGGGGAACCATTGTTTTCTTTAACCCCTGAGTGTGTGTGTCACTTCCTGTCCCCCAGAATGCTGCTTCCTGTCCAAGCCTTATGGCAGAGAATGTTGCACCTTCGCCCTCGGGGATGACCCAGGACTTCACCCTGTTGCTAAGCAATGTGGAGCAGGTACAATATACACTAGCCCCTGTTAAATACTATCCTAAATGTGGTACAGTCGGATAGGAGTGAAGTAATTCAGGCTCTTAGAGGGAGATTCGTGGGAATGATAGTGAACCCCTCAATGATTGCTCTATGGGAATGAGCTGAGACATCTGCTGTAACTGTGTGGGATAGGTTAGAATCAGAATGATGAATGGCTTTAACTCTGCACTTATTTGAAACACCTTTTAGCTGTCTGTTCACACCAGGTTCTCTGATATCTTATCTCTCAGTAGATATACAGGCATTCACAGACATATGGAGACATTCAAAGAACACATAGCAATCTTTAGTACTATTTGCCCTATCTTTTCACTTTTAGACACGTTCTACCTTCAGACGCTGATTTCAGATCAGTCTGTATAACCCAAATCCTAACCTCAACATATTGGAGGAAAAAAAAGCTGATCTTGTATCAGTGATGAGGGTCTGACTCTGTTAGCTTGTGACATTCCATCTCTGACTAGTTGCCAGGTCTGGTCAGTCATAACCGTAACCCTGTGCCCTTTCACACACTCTCTGACTGGGTTTCTATGGCGACAGACAGTTTGTCACACATACACACATACGCACACCAACACATTTTAATTGGCGTAGATATAATCAACCTTTCATAGCTGTTATTATTTCATTTCAGTTGTTTGAACAACGTCATCAGCTTTGCTGTGAGTCAGATGCATACGTGTTGTAAAGTATAGAAAAGTAGGTCTCATACTACAGTGGGATGACCAAACTGGCTTGACCTGGCATTCCTTGCTGTTATTTCGCTTGTTTAAACATGGCTCTATGTCTCATCTTGGCATATAGTCTATATGAGGCAAAGAACGCAATGACTATTCAGAGAAGATCTTTATGAATCAGGGAAATCAAGTAGAAAGCAGAAGGAAAACAAACAATGTAACGTGAAGTTTGTTTTAAAGTTCAAAGCACCACAGTCATATATAGTTGAAGTTGGAAGTTTACATACACTTAGGTTGGAGTCATTAAAATTAGTTTTTCAACCACTCCACAAATTTATTGTTAACAAACTACTTTTGGCAAGTCGGTTAGGACATCTACTTTGTGCATGACACAAGTAATTTTTCCAACAATTGTTTACAGACAGATTATTTCACTTATAATTAACTGTATCACAATTCCAGTGGGTCAGAAGTTTACATACACTAAGTTGACTGTGCCTTTAAACAGCTTGGAAAATTCCAGAAAATATGTCATGGCTTTAGAAGCTTCTGATAGGCTAATTGACATCATTTGAGTCAATTGGAGGTGTACCTGTGGATGTATTTCAAGGCCTACCTTCAAACTCAGTGCCTCTTTGCTTGACATCATGGGGAAATCAAAAGAAATCAGCCAAGACCTCAGAAAGAAAATTGTAGACCTCCACAAGTCTGGTTCATCCTTGGGAGCAATTTCCAAATGCCTGAAGGTACCACGTTCATCTGTACAAACAATAGTACGCAAGTATAAACACCATGGGACCACACAGCCGTCATACCGCTCAGGAAGGAGACGCGTTCTGTCTCCTAGAGATGAATGTACTTTGGTGCGAAAAGTGCAAATCAATCCCAGAACAACAGCAACGGACCTTGTGAAGATGTTGGATGAAACAGGTACAAAAGTATCTATATCCACAGTAAAATGAGTCCTAATTCGACATAACCTGAACGGCCGCTCAGCAAGGAAGAAGCCACTGCTCCAAAACCGCCATAAAAAAGCCAGACTACAGTTTGTAACTGCACATGGGGACAAAGATCGTACTTTTTGGAGAAATGTCCTCTGGTCTGATGAAACAAAAAGAAAACTGTTTGGCCATAATGACCATCGTTATGTTTGGAGGAAAAAGGGGGACACTTGCAAGCCGAAGAACACCATCCAAACCGTGAAGCACGGGGGTGGCAGCATCATGCTGTGTGGGTGTTTTGCTGCAGGAGGGACTGGTGCACTTCACAAAATAGATGGCATCATGAGGAAGGAAAATTATGTGGATATATTGAAGCAACATCTCAAGACATCAGTCAGGAAGTTAAAGCATCGTCGCAAATGGGTCTTCCAAATGGACAATGACTCCAAGCATACTTCCAAAGTTGTGGCAAAATGGCTTAAGGACAACAAAGTCAAGGTATTGGAGTGGCCATCACAAAGCCCTGACCTCAATCCTATAGAAAATGTGTGGGCAGAACTGAAAAAGCGTGTGCGAGCAAGGAGGCGTACAAACCTGACTCAGTTACACCAGCTCTGTCAGGAGGAATGGGGAAAAATTCACCAAACTTATTGTGGGAAGCTTGTGGAAGGCTACCCGAAACGTTTGACCCAAGTTAAACAATTTAAAGGCAATACTACCAAATACTAATTGATTGTATGTAAACTTCTGACCCACTGGGAATGTGATGAAATAAATAAAAGCTGAAATAAATCATTCTCTCTACTATTATTCTGACATTTCACATTCTTAAAATAAAGTGGTGATCCTCACTGACCCAAGACAGGGAATTTTTAATAGGATTAAATGTCAGGAATTGTGAAAAACTGAGTTTAAATGTATTTGGCTAAGGTGTATGTAAACCTCCGACTTCAACTGTACTTCTATGACTTATCCTGTTCTATTGTAACCTGTTAAATCAATCCATATGTAACTGTTCATACATACGTTATGACTGACTACAAGCACTTTGAGTAGATTGACTGTCCTTCTCTTCCTGACGTGTACACTATTACACACAGTATGTGTGGTCGTATCTCCTGATGTTTTGGCTCAGATGTGAATTTATAATAAACCCCTCTGCCTCCCAGATGAGTTGCTGAGGTAGGGACTTTACCGTCCAGATGTTGATGAATATGATGAATTATAAATGGATTCAGAATTTCTGCCTGGCAGGGACAATTATCCTGGGCTATTTAGATGTTTTGCATTCCTCCCCTCCCAGGGTTGTCAATGGTTACCAACTATTCAGGAGGACAGAGTTCTCTCCCAGCCAGGTCCCTGTTATTGTTTCTCATATGACATTCTATTCCCTACATAGTGCATGTACATTCATGAACCTATTAACATTAGCCCTGATCAACTGATAGGTATGTTAGCTCAACTAAACGAAACAGCCACTGTGCTGATAATGGAACTAGAAGAAGTGCACACTCTGAATAAAGAGAGCTCCAAAACAAACTATTGTGAAAACATGGAGTATTCTGGGTGCCAGGCTGTTGCTTTAGCTAACTTGTCACTTTCTTGCCAATGTTCTCTTGCCAATGTTTGGCATGACATTTCCAAAGCAGTTGGCTGAAGCAGAAACAGAACGGCATCTAAGCTACAGGACTAGCTAAGACGAGGAAAGTAAAAACCTAACAAGATGTGTAAAGGCACTATACAGTATCTATCCCAAAATGTGTCCCCATTTCCCTGGGTGATGTCAGACTGTGCCACCCCTCAGATTGGCTTAGAAATGAAATGTCATTGTCATGACGACATGTCTGAATTGTTTGGTTCCGTAGGGGGAGGAGCTAGAGTGTGACTTTGGGAACGAGCAGCGGTATGATTCCCGATGGCTGGAGGAGCGCTCAGTGGTCAAGTGCAGTGGAGTGACGGTGAGTACAACCAATCATGTTCCAAGAACACCTGTCACTCAACACAATCTGAGTAAAGGGCCAATCAGAAATAAGCTGTTTAGTGTATGGCCAATTAAGCCATGCTTACTGGTCGTGTATGGTGAAATGGCCAATCAGTGGGCTTGTCTCTCTTACCATATAGCTAACCACAGTGGAGAGGAGTCAGGTGTTTCAGCTCATTCTACGTAGAAAGGGACACCTGGAAAAATACATCGACAGCCCTAAACCCATGACAGGTATGAGCGCACGCACACACACACACACGTTTGTTTTACTATCCTTGTGAGGACCGAAACATTTATTCCCATTCAAAATCTTATTTTCCCTAAGCTTTAACCCTAACCCCAAACCCCTAACCCTAACCTAACCCTAACTCCTAACCCTAACCCCTAACCCCTAACCCCTAACCATCCTTGTTTTACTATCTTTGTGAGGACTTCTGTTACCCACAAGGATAGTAAAACCAAATAAGCACACACACACACACACACAAGCCCACTCCCAGATGCCAGAATATTCTCAATGTTAACAGGCCATGTGTTTACCATGTGAGCCCCTAGAGCAGAAGAACAGCCTTGGCCCACAGCCAGAAAAAACGGCATACTTTCTTCCAAGACTGATGCTTCATACCGGCATACTTTATTACAAGACTGATGCTTCATACTGGCCTACTTTATTAAAAGGCTGATGCTTCATACCGGCATACTTTATTACAAGGCTGATGCTTCATACCGTGTTCAGTCATCAAAACACACACACAAGCACACATGATTTCTCTATGGGAGGTGCTGGAACATGGAGGTGCTCATCTGTTTCTCTCTCTTTCTGTTCTTATGTCTTTCCTCTCTGTTTCTCTGTGTTTATTTATATTATGTTGAAAATATTTTTAATCCAAAGCAACGGACATAGGTTCAGTATGATATATTCAACCTATACGGTTACATGATGTAGCCCGTATGTTGCTAGCATGCTGTATTGTGATAATAAAGCTCTCTCCATTCTCCCTCCTCCTCGTTCTCTCTCAGTGGAGGTATATAACTGTGAGGTGGGCAGTGGGGACTGTTCCCAGTGTTGGGGACGTGAGGACCAGGGACATCTGTGTGGCTGGTGTGACAACAGCTGTAGACCCAGGGACGACTGCCAGTATATGAGTAGCCAGTGTCCTGACCCCGAGATCACCAGGGTAGGAATAAACGCACACACACACATCATGTCCCATCCACGAGATCCATAAGACTGAACCAGTCTGATAGATACTGAAACTATCCTGTAGTGTGACACACACTCATCCCTGCAGTTCTCCATCCCCTCATTATTGACCTAGGCCCTCATTTGGAACAGGAAGTGGTGGTGTGTCACATGACCTGTCACATTATGTGGGGCGGGTGGGCACTGTGATGAGGGTTTATTTTGGAAGGGGAAGTGTTTATTACAGAGGCTCATTAAACCAAGTCAATCTGAAATAACACACTGTACTACTACTCCCTGACTGGCTGACTCCACAGCACAGTCACACCACTTAGACACTGGCTCTTATGGAGGAACAACACCATTTATTTGGAGGGATGACGGAGGGCATGGGAACACTTACCCACTGCCTAACCCTGTCTATCTGTTTTGGCCAGTGTGTGTGTGTGTAGAGTTGAGAGAGAGTGTGTGTGTGGTGTGTGTGCGTGCATGTGGTGTTGAGGTGTGTGTGTGTATTCTGTGCATAATGTTTGTACTGAGCTCTCTACGCGGTCACCCACAGAAATAGAATAGAGCAATACAAAACTACATTACAGATGTGACCACATTACGACCACATGGGTCAAGGGAATTAACATTTATATTAGGTTGCAGATCTCACTGTGGTCACCTCTTTGTGGTCATGAAACCCAGTCAGCTGACTATTGGGAACACATGGTTTCAACAGTTCATTTGGATTCATCTGGGTGACCTTGCTCCTTTGTACCGATACTTTTGAACCTCTGTGATTATGCCACTGTGTTTGAACTCCCAGGCATTGAAGAGTTGTTTAGAGTTGCGTTAAAACCACTTTGAACGGTACTGAATGCTGCCTTTATCTGTGCTGCAGTTGCAGACGGGAAGTACGGCTCGCATGAGGCCCAGTCGGCCTAAACACTTCCTGTAGATTAAACCTGCCTGGTCTGGCCCAGCAGGGAGACAAAGGAATCTGACACACACCACACACACACACACACTCACACACACACACACACACACACACACACACACAATCTATAGTATTTTACACACATGGGTACACCTTTACTCAAAGGCCAGCAAGGATTTAGAGGCACAACACACAGACTAGTAGCAGTTACCACTGTCAGCACACTCAGCGTCCCTGCATGACTCTCTGTATCAGCCATTGTGTCAGTGTCATGACTCATGGACTGTTGAATGTCCATCTGTGTGTGTATCCCACTGAGATGACTGGGGTTAGATGTGTTGAAATCCTCAATGCGTGGGCAGCTCAAAGACACACACACACACACACACATGCGCGCGATCATACAATCACACTCACACACGTACGCACACACACTCACACACACACACACACACTCAAACAGCTGCCTCAGGAGAGAGGTGATTGTAAGGCAGGAAACTGGGGCTGTGGTTGTGGGAGTGTGATGCAATGCCTTGGCAGCCATGTTTTCCCAGACAGAGAATCATCAGGAGTTAGTTAGAGTAACAGTCAGTCAGAGTTCTCAGCTTTACGGGGGAGTATCTAGCACATACACTGCAAGAGCATTAGTGAGGTCAGGCATTGATGTTGGGCGATTAGGCCTGTCTCGCAGTCGGCGGTCCAATTCATCCCAAAGGTGTTTGATGGGGTTGAGGTCAGGGCTCTGTGCAGGCCAGTCAAGTTCTTCCACACCAATCTCGACAAACCATTTCTGTATGGACCTCGCTTTGTGCACGGGGGCATTGTCACGCTAAAACAGGAAAGGGCCTTCCACAAACTGTTGCCACAAAGTTTGAAGCACAGAAACGTCTAGAATGTCATTGTATACTGTAGCGTTAAGATTTCCCTTCACTGGAACTAAGGGGCCTAGCCCGAACCATGAAAAACAGCCCCAGACCATTATTCCTCCTCCACCAAACTTTACAGTTGGCACTATGCATTCGGGCAGGTAGCGTTCACCTGGTATCCGGCAATACCAGATTCGTCCGTCGGACTGCCAAAGCGTGATTCATCACTCCAGAGAACGTGTTTCCACTGCTCCTGAGTCCAATGGTGGCGAGCTTTCCACCACTCCAGCCGACGCTTGGCATTGAGCATGGTGATCTCAGGGTTATGTGCGGCTGCTCGGCCATGGAAACCCATTTCCTGAATCTCCCGACAAACAGTTTTTGTGCTGACGTTGCTTCCAGAGGCAGTTTAGAACTCGGTAGTGAGTGTTACAACTGAGGACAGACGATTTTTTCGCACTTCAGCACTCGGTGGTCCCGTTCTGTGAGCTTGTGTGGCTTACCACTTCGCGGCTGAGCCATTGTTGCTCCTAGACGTTTACACTTTACAATAACAGCACTTACAGATGACCGGGGCAGCTCTAGCAGGGCAGAAATTTGACGAACTGACTGACTATGATGGTGCCACGTTGAAAGTCACTGAGCTCTTCAGTAAGCCCATTCTACTGCCAATGTTTGTCTATGGATATGGCATGGCTGTGTGCTCGATTTTATACACCTGTCAGCAACGGGTGTGGCTGAAATAGCCGACTCCACTAATTTGAAGGGGTGTCCACATACTTTGTATATGTTCTGAGAAGCACATGTTCCTTAGGTAGGAATTTCACTACTTCAGCATAGCGTTTCCGACAGGTTTCCTCATGGTTCTATAAAGGTCGATGTCCGCGCTCTCACTTAAATCGAATTAGCATAATACAAAAATCCCCATAAAAATATGTCAGTTTAATCTAGAGATATCTGTTTCTTTGCATTGGATGAGTCTCAATCCACCACATCCGCCTATGTTGCACTTCCGCATCTGCGGTGAAAGGTAACAGAGCTAGAGCGGTGTTTGTCAGACCATGAGACACCCCGAAAATCGGTCTTCTCACAAAATCGTCTGTAGCGTCCGAACAATTATGACTTAAAATTCAAAATCAATTTGCTAAATTATCCTCGGCATGACCTTCTTAAAACAATTCCCTGTAGTTTGTCTTTGCTTGGAGTTCAAAACAGTTAACACAAACTAAGCTAGCAGTGTTATTAAAAGTCTTATGGAAATATGCTCTCAGAACGTTATTTAATTACATTCAAATAACCTATAATTTCCATTCTCAGAACGTTAACACTTCCCAGGAAAACTTTCAGGAAATCATAGTAAAATGTTCTCAGAACCTCCCTGCAACTTAAACATTTATGTTCCCAGAAAAGGAAATATTTTCACTTCCGTTTTCAGAACATTTAAAAAAACATTCAGTTTTACCAGTCAGGAAATGTATGGATTCATTCCCAGAACCAAAAAACGTAAGTTCCCACAATTTCCAAAAAACCAAATGAACTAGCTGGGATGTTACTTATGTGGATGGCAAGCTGGTAAAATACCGTAATGAGTCGTTACATGTCATTTCAGCAAGCCATGTCGCCCACCATCTCAGATTGTTCAGAAATTGTTTCTGTAGTTGGAAACAGATGAGATTGGCATTCCTGAAACATTATTTTGTTGAAATTAAGCTAATTGATTGCATCAAAATGCGCCATATTAATTGATTCAGATAATAGTCAGTATTTCTTCTCCATACTATGCAATGTATTCCCTGTAAATCTGGTGTTTTTTCCCCTCCTGTTTAGATAAATTATTTACCGTAAAGTATTGTGAAAGTACCAGGTTTTGACCACTAGCTGCCGCTGTTCTTGCTATACTGCCACACTCTTTTAGCCAGTTTGCTGGTTTCTTGTGTTTCTCAATTAAATCACAACATTTCCTTTGCAGCTTTGGGTTTTAAACCAATAGATTTGTCTCATTATGAAAACAAATTGTGTGGTCATCCTCAATTTAAGCCAGTCCTCCATGAAAGCAATTCAGTTTGTCCTTCTTTTACACTTAACCTGTGTCCAGTAAACTGACCGTTTGTGTGAGGTTTTTTCACTTCAAAAAGATCTAGATTAGTTACTGTTAGACCATTCCTGGTGAACAAGCAAACCATTAGGCTACAGCAGTTCTAATGGTTTCAATGTTATGGTCTTCAATAGTAAAAGTCCCAAACACACACTGTTTATTTATTGAATATTATCTGAATCCTATCAATTGAAATTGCCAATTTGGGTGCAATCAATTAGCATAATTTCTCAGAGATCAAATTATATTTCAACAAAAGGATGTTTTGGGAATGCTAATCTTAACTATAGAAACGATTTCAGAACAATCGGAGATGGTGGGTGTCGAAATCCTCGTTCTTGTGCTTTTTGAGGTGGAACGACCCTAATGTGTTCTATGTGTCCGTAATATTGCAGGTAACAAAAGCAGTTGTCGTCATTCCAGAGCCTGCATTCTCGTTCCGTGGCATGCCAAGCCCCATTGTTTAAAACTTGTTTGATTGGAGTTTATTGAGTGTCCAAAACAGGAACTGACAAGCATAGTTTATTCGTGACATGAAGAGAGAGATACAGTGGGAGGGGGAGTACAGAAGTAAGGTTTCTTTCCTTTTCCTGTGTTTGTCTTCACATCCTCCTTCATCAGTGAGGAGGAGTTAAGATGGACTGCAACAGTGTATACGGTCTCATACAGTGGGTCTAAACTAATAATGTCAGATGATGTCTGCAGTATGGTCTGAACACCTGACCCTGATAGAAATCTGGAGGCACGATCCTTCGATCCTTCGAGGATCTTTATCCAAATGATTTGGTATGTTCAGAAGATCCCATTAAATTCATAATTTCCTGTCAGGATTACTAATTAGAGCATTATAGAGATTTTTAGAGATCCTTTATTGTTGAAGGTGTTTTTGGATCAGGACATTTCCTGATGTTATTGTACTGTACTTTCCTCCGCTCAGCTTGAGACTCGTTCACAGAGGAGTGAGAGGTGCAAATGAGCAACATGGCAGCTAACGTTATCACTAACCCCAGACATGCTAATACCAGAGAGACTGAGGTGCTTAGAGATACATAGTGATAATTACTGTACTTACCAAGTGGAGCTTGGAGGTGTGTGCGTGTGTGTGTGTGTGTGTGTGTGTGGACGTGTTTAACTTTACTTGTGAGGATTAGAAGTCCACACAAGAATAGTAAACAAACAACAATTTGACCAACTGGTGACATTTTGTTAGTCCCCAGAAGGTCAAATGCTATTTCTTAGGGGTGTATGGTTAAGGTTAGATTTAGGGTTAGGGTTAGGAGCTAGGGTTAGTTTTAGGGTTAGGGTTAAGGTTTTCTGGTTAAGATTAAGGTAAGGGTTAGGTTTAGGGTTAGGGGTTAAGGAAAATAGTATTTTGAATGGGACTGAATTGTGTGTCTCCACAAGGTTAGTTGTACAAGAATGTGTGTGTGTGTGTGTGTGTGTGTGTGTGTGTGTGTGTGTCACTATTTAATCTAAAGGCTTAAAAATGTGACTCATTTTGGGATAAGCTTCTTGAAGGCCAAAAGCTTTGTATAACCAAACACTTACTGTACATCACCTTGGTCTTATACATATTTAGGTTCTCTGTGGATTTATAATTGTTTGTTTTTACATGGAAATATACTGTAAGTGTGTGTAATTTACACACTCTGTCCTCATTTTTCACTTTAGCTCGGAAGCACAGTGTTTGTGTATCTCGGCTGTCAATCACATAGCTTATGAATTCCTTTCTTAATGTAGACCCTCCTTCTCCCCTCTCAACCAGACCAAACGGAAGCACTGTTTTCATTCATATTTTCATTCATACACAAACAAAATCTAACTCACTCATTTTGCTAGCTAGAAAGAATTAGTCACAAATTCATTCAGAAACGGAGGAAGATTATAGCTAGCTATAGCAAGCTAACGTTAGCAGCTGCCTCTTCAACAAGAAGCAACTGTGACAACATTGGTCCTTAGATAAAAATAAAAATAAAGTTCTTTCCTATTGAGCAAGTTCCACAATCCACAATAAAAAAATAAAATAAAATAAAGTTCTACAATCCACCCCTAAAAAAAAAGCATGTCTCTGGGGCTTCACCGAAATTCCACCAGGTCCGCGATCGTATCCATGCGCGAAGCTTCACATTTCAGTTTAGCCTGCACTCGGCAGGCTGTATAGAAAACTCCCCCTGAGCCACAGTTTGAGATGCTTTAAAAGCCACAATGATGGACAGCATCCACTTTGAGGAGCAACTTCTTGCTGAAGCACTCCTTCCATTGTTAATAGCCATGGAAGCTCAGGGATGAAATGTGACCCGCAGATTGACGAGTAGACGGCCAATTCGCATGCCTCATTCTCACAAAATGTATCCCACTTTTTGCAAAGTTTTTCATTCATCATAACACGGGGCGTTGTGGGATTTTTTTCTAAGGTTAGAGCTGATTTGGAGCAAACCTCAAACCCAACTTTTAGAACAACATAATATTATAATAATTGATTTAAGAGTTTTTAATTTGGGAATTTTTTATTGGTGCTTTAAGTTACTATTATATGTGTTTCTGGCATTGAGAAGTAAGTGCTACATTCCCTTTAAAAGTCTTATTGAACATTTTAAAGGGATACTTCGGGATTTTGCCAATGAGGCCCTTTATCTACTTCCCCAGAGTCAAATAAACTTGTGGATACCATTTTTATCTTCTCTGTGTCCAGTATGACGGAAGTTAGAGGTAGTTTTGCCAGCCAATGCTAACTAGCTTTAGTGCAATGACTGGAATCTATGGGTATCTGCTAGCAAAAATGTTCAGTTTTACCGGTCAGGAAACGTATGGGTTCGTTTCCACAACCAATGTAAAACCAAAAACATACGTTCCCACAGCTTCCAAGGAACCAAATAAGCTATCTGGGATATAAGTGGGCACTTACCCCAATCTTCTCCCCCTCTCTCCCCCCTAGATCTCCCCCCGGAGTGGGCCGTTGAAGGGAGGTACCCTGCTCACGGTGCAGGGTAGGAACATGGGGCGCAGGGCTGAGGTGGTGGAGGTCTCCATCGGGATGTTCCCATGTACAATCCTTCCTGACCAATACACTGTCTCTGTGGAGTAAGTAAATGTCTCATGATTCATTGATTAATTGGTTGATGCATTCATTAGTTCAGTGTCTTCTTGCACAGGTGTCAGGATGTTTGTAATGATGCTGTTGGGGTAATTTATTAAAGCATAATATAGAACGGTACTTCTCATTTTAAACTGTTCCGTTCACATAAAGGAGGTACTTCGAGGCCCACAACACTATCACCAAGGAGACAGCAGAACCCTGGGTTGACACCTGCACATAGTATTCCATGGAAACACTGTAACTATAGGACCACATCAAAACTTCCATACCGATTTCCATAATGTTCCACGGATGGAAATGTTTATCTGGTCACACTCCACTGGAGCCAATCAGGCTGTAGTAGAATGCAGACCGTGCTGGGGTGACCCGCAGGTCTAACCTGTCACTACACACTCTCCCAAACACACACACACACTCCAGGTCACTCCAGACCCGGCGAATCAGATTTCACATCGGGGATGACCTCACCCTGCTTGCTCGTCCCTCATTGGTTCCCTGAGCTAGTTGTTATGACAGTGAAATCTTTCCTCCTCGGAGGTAGTGTTGCTGACAAATCAAAACATGCCAGTGTGTCTGACAGCAGGCTCACACACTGAATAGATGCACACACACACACCTGCATGCGTGACCTCACCACAACCATGGCTGTTGAGACAGGTGTCTGTTCGTGTGCTGAGAGGTCAGAGGTTCCAGCTGTGAGAGAGAGTGAGAGAGAGAGAGAGAGAGAGAGAGAGAGAGAGTAGTATAGAGAGAGAGAGAGAGAGATAGAGAGATTCTATATATATCGAGAGATAGGAGATAGTAGATCGCTATAGCGATCTCTATCCTCGCTCTTATATAGCATAAGCAGATACGCTCTCTACGAGTACTCGACTCTCTCTCTCTCGAGCTCTTCACTATTCATTCATCCTTTCGCTAAGTAGGGGTAACCAATTCAGTACCCACTCTGGACACGTCTGTTGGGGAAAGTGTAGAAGTTCAAGCTGCCAACTCTTTCATGTCCCTTGAGTGTCCTGGTTGGCTTCCTTCTCTCCCTCCACACACACGCACTGAATGCACACACATACCACTTCCATTGCTGATTATCCTGGTCCTCCTCTCTGGGTAAATATCCAGAGACATCACTCATAGTAGCCAAAACATCACCCGCTAGATCGCAATATATTTCCTCTCTGGGCGGTGGAGGAATGTAGTGCGAGGTTCTGTAGTAAAAAAAAAAGTATATACTATAGTATTTACTGTAGTGTTTTTTCAGAGTATAGTACGGTATACTGTAGTATTTACTTACTGTTTTTGGGGACATTACTGTAGTTCAGAAAGAAAACACCACGTGGAAACATGTTTAACCATTTATTTAACAATGGTTAAATAAATGGCAGAAACACAGAACCTAACAGGTGGAGGCTGGGATGGTGGTAGGAGCAAAAAGCCAGTGCAGAGTAGCAGTTGCAGCAAGTGGCAGCAGAATGATTGAGCAGACCTGGTCAGCTTAACTAGACTGACAAATAAGATAGGCGTGATTGATACTAGCCTCTAATTAGGTAGGTTTCTCACTTATGGGTGGCACAAACTGGGATATTGGGGAGGGGAATTGGCAGGGTTCAGTGTTTTTTTGTGTGTAGATAATACTGTAAGGTTTACTATAGTATTCTACAGTATACTAAATAATTATATACTAAGTACTACACACGATCGAGGGATACTACATTGTGTAGTATAGTATTCTACGATATACTACAGTTTACTACAGAATTCTGTAGTAAGTACTGTAGTATTCTATACTAAACTGTATTTTTTTTTATGTGGGCCCTTTCAATCAGTTGGCCATTTATAGTTAAAATCTGCAAATGACTCCATTTGTCTGCTTTGAAGTTAGACAAAGCCATGTACTCAGTCGTTCTGGCATTCAGCCAGAACGAAATTCAAGTTTCTGTTGTCATCAAAAGCCACTGAAAAGCCTTCCCCATTTAGAGGCACAGGAGTAAACACTTGTGTCGTCAGCATACAAGTGGAGTGTTGTGGAGTTCACATTTACATCATGAATCATCCCGGCCAGATACTGTGACTCATATCCACAGCTATCTATCTACTGTAATAATATAGACTTGGATGGAATTCACTAGAGCTGGTTTTTTTTTCTCTGGTTCATCTGTGACCTACGCTGAGCTAGGTTTCACATTAATTTACCAAAATGTATCATTTGCCCTAGAGGTGATCCCATTGCATTGAGATTTAAACTCTCAGATGTGGAAATCTGTCCGAAAGTTGTGAATTTGGCTTCAATCAGTTACTTGTTGCAAAACCACAAACAACTACAGGGACTTGATCCAGCTCTATGAGCTCCTTGATCCCCTTCAGACCCAGCCATACCCAGCCTTCAGCCCAGCCCTGTTTCTTGTCTTGCCCTGTCTCGGGGGTACCTGTCTCACATGTGACCCTCAGAGGATCAAGCTTCCTGTCAGTCAGCGACTAGACCCCTGATTGGGTTGCCAGGTATTTCTGGTCATTATAGAACCAACCACCTGACTAAATAAACCGGCCGCACGTGCTGAACAAGAGGAGGGTGAAGGGGTGGGCTTCGAGCCATGCAGGTTTGGGGTGGGGGGTCGTGGTTCCCATTTGTTTATTTCTGTGGGGAGTCATCGGATCATAGCCTGGTCCATGATCTGTACCGTATGTGCTTTAGCCAGCTCCTCTGACTGACACACAGCAGGGCCAAAGCACATACAGATCTGGGATCTGGCCTTGCATAATGTTCTCTGTTGCTCCATCACTGTATGGATAATCCTACTGTGTCCCTCTGGTCCCAGTACTGTGTGACAACATGAGGCTTAATTAGAGCCATGAGGTTATAAAACAAACATCCAGTCAGCTCGTTAAGCCCCTCTGGGTTTCGCAGCATCTAGCCGGGGGGGCTTTGAAGTCCCCCTCCTCTGGGTTTAGCCAACACTGTCCAGTACTTACATTATTACGAAACTTCTAAGGATCTCTATTGTATTGTCTGTGTTTAGCTTTTTTCTAAAAGTTGTGAAACTCATGAAAAATACAAATAATATGTAATCCACAGTTGACACAGACACATCCAAAAAGGCAATTGCCAACATGCTATGCTGTCCAGCAGAACTTTCTCAGTAGCGATGATTGTGGTCAGTGTTGGTTAAGATTAAGTGTGTCTGCTCACCTTACAGTGTTGCGTTCTATCTACAGGCTGGTGTGTGTTACTGGGGAGGCCTTTGATCCCACAAATGATTTCGTCAAAATTACTGTGAACCAGAAAGCAATGGGGGTGTCCAGAGAGGCCTTCTCATACTTGGTGAGTGTGTTCCATCCTCTCTCTCTCTCTCTCTCTCTCTCTCTCTCTCTCTCTCCTTCCCCTCTCTCTCTTTCTCTCCTTCCTCTCTCTCTGTCTCTCTCTCCTGCTCTCCTTTCCCCTCTCTCTCTCTCTCTCCTTTCTCTCTCTCTCTCTCTCGACTGCTCTCCTTCCTCTCTCTCTCTCACTCTCCCTCTCTCTCTCTCCAATTGTCTCTCTCTCTCATTGTCTCTCTCTCGTTGTCTCTCTCTGTTCCTTCCCCTCTCTGTCTTCCTTCCTCCTTTTTTTCTCTCCTTCTCCCTGACCTGCCTTTCGATTTTCTTCTTCCTATTTATTTACAGTATTTCTCTGTCTCTTGCGGGTTAAATCCACAATCTCTCCATTCTTTCTCCTCCCTCCTCTCTCTCTCTCCATCCCCCTCTCCCCACTCCCCAGTCCTTGTTCATACTGGGAAAGTGTTCCCAATTTTTCAGTTGAATGTTAACAGATGCGTCTTAATATTCAGGAATGCAAGGGTGTGGGAATCTTCAAACGTTCATTAGAACTGCAACTAAGCACTATTGTCACCCAGAACTCTGTGCCAGCAAAAACAAATATGGCGCTTGTTGAAATGTCCCCCTCTTTGAATTCATGACCAGCCGAGGCTGGCTGCTTCTTCTGCTAATTGACCCTGACCCACACAGTCTCCCATTGGATTAAGACTACACAGCCTGTGGAAATACCCATCTAAGCCCTCTGTTTCTTTCTGTTGGTCCCATGTTTCATGAGCTGCAAAAAAAAATCCTCTAAATGTTCCATACACACAAAAAGCTTATTTCTTTCAAATGTTGTGCACATCCCTGTTAGTGAGCATTTCTCATTTTCCATGATAATCCATCCACCTGACAGGTGTAGCATATCAAAAAGCTGATTAAACAGCATGATCATTACATAGGTGCACCTTGTGCTGGGGACAATACAATTGCTGAGGAGTATTTCTGTAATATAGCCCCTTTGTGGGGGAAAACTCATTCTTATTGGCTGGGCCTGGCTCCCCAGTGGGTGGGCATGGCTGCCAAGTGGGTGGGCCTATGCCCTCCAAGGCCCACCCATGGCTGCACCCTGCCCAGTCATGTGAAATCGATAGATTAGGGCCTAATTAATTTATTTCAATTGACTGATTTCGTTATATGAACTGTAACTCAGTAAAATCTTTGAAATTGTTGCATGTACATTTATGTTTTTGTTAATTATATTTACGAACAAGGAGTTTATTTTTAATTTCAGACACTTTTAAAAAGGGTTTCTGCCTATGAGTCATGATCCCAGTAAAAAATAAAAGTATTGGAGATGTGAGAGTATTGAAATGCAAACAACAAACACTTTTAGGGGTTGTGAGAAGCCCTCTCTGTCCCTTGCAAATTCCTGGGATGCTTCCCCAGGGTGTGCGGGAAAGAAAGGGAGAGAGTAGAGAGGGGAGAAGGGGATTCTGAGGAAAAGGGAAAACGGTTCAGATCCAAACGGAGACAGGATGTGCGCCTCCTCTGCACCTCCTTCCTCAAACCTCGGGCCGGAAACATCTGCCTCTACCTTACACACACAAGCACGTGCACACAATAGACACCCCTGCCCCGTTCACACACACACACACAGGAAGTGAATCATGTCAGTGAGAATGAGAGGTCCTCCCTGGAGGCAAGGTTCACAGAGGGGAGAGAAGCTTCGAAAGTCTCCGGAATGCTGATGCTGTAGAACTGTGGATCTGTATAGGGATATTCGTCTTAGCCCCAGGGACCTGTCCTGTGTGTGTATGTGTTTTATGTGTGTGTGTGTATGTGTGTGTTGCTGTACTGCTACATAGCTGGATAGCAAAATATATCCTAGCCCCAGGGATCTGTCATTTGTGGCTGAGATGAACGCAAGGCCATAAGGCCTCAGTGCAGAACATTACTGAACTGCAGGAGTGGGCTACTCAACTTTAGTTTCCCAGGGCTGCAGTGTCCACAAGTTTTCAAACTTGAAATATGTTACACTCAGCAACTTACTTAGCTGAGGAAACCAAGCGTATGGTCTATATACTGTAGACATCTACGGTATAGAATATTATTTGAATTATCCAATTACAGTGTCACAATGACGCAGAACCAGCAGATTGTTGCATTGGAGATGTGGACAGTACATTACAGCAAAACAACAACGTAGCCTTATGGCACATGAATAACAACACATACTGTATGTCCTATCTCCCACCCCAGGTCCCCAAGCTGCTGTCCATGGAGCCTAGAAAGGGCTCTCGTTCTGGGGGAACCAGGGTGACCATCAGGGGGGAGCACCTGGACACTGGCTCTCAGGTCAGAGTCAAGGTCAATGGCACCCAGGAATGCACCATCCTCACGTGAGTCTTGCTGTGGGATTCAGTACATTGTCATCACTGTTGGACTTGCATATGTTGTTGTGCTGAATCTGTAGGCTTTGTGATGCTGAGTGTTATTCTAAAGGAGACAGTCTAGTGGAGTTGTTTGGTTATATCATGTGTGAGTTATTGTTATTTTTTCAGCTGATGCATTTGTTGTCTTTTCAGAGGCTGTGTTTTTGTTCTTGGATGTATTTGTTATGGAAGCTCTTAGTGTGTGGTTTTATTATGCTGATTGTGTGGTATTTTTCTGTCCTTGTGCGTCGCTTGTGTGTCTGTGTCCTCGTGTGTGTGTGTGTGTGTGTGTGTGTGCACATGAATGTGTGTGTGTTTGCCTGTGTGTGCATGGGTTTGTGTTCCAGGCTAACTGAAGACACCATCGAGTGCACCATGCCTGCGGCCCTGCACACACACACTGAGGCGGTGTCGGTGTGTGTGGACTTTGAAGACAAACCCTGTCAGAGCTCTGAGCTCATCACCCAGTACATCTACGAGAAGAACCCCAGCATCAGCTACATCAAACCCAGAAAGAGCTACCTCAGGTACAAACACACACACAGTGTCATTGATTATGCAGTATCTCATACATACAATAGAAAACAGAACAGTCAGTGTCCTGCATTGCTCCATTGATAAATCTAACATTCCATAGATTCTATTTATCCAGTGTTCTGTTGACAACTGAGAGTATGACAGCATATAGAAAATATGATTTCACTCATTATAATGATCTTGTAGTTCCATTCTACCACAGAAACTCTCTTGGAGGGTTTGATTGGTATTCCACCCAGCCACAGAGATGACATACTGAGTTAATGTCTTCCTGATGTATGCTCTGTGGCTTCTCCACAGTGTTTGCGTGTGTGTGCATGCGTGTGTGTGTGTGTGTTTGAAATGACACCCCATGTGTGAGACAGACTCCTGAGGGAGGGCACGGTGCGTCTGATTGGCATGTGTGTTGACTCTTGACTGTGTGTAGCGTGTAGCGCGTAGCGTGCAGTGTGTAGCAGCGTGTTACGTGTAGCGTGCAGCGTGCAGCGCGTAGCGTGTAGTGTGTAGCAGTGTGTAGCGTGTAGCGTGTGAGTTTTGAACTGTCTCTGATCATTTGGTTATGTGCGTGTGAGTTTGTGCTCTCCGTCTTTGACCAGAGTGATTGTGTCTCTGTGTTCTATGTTTCTGACCATGTGTGGTTGTGTTCCAGTGGCGGTCGAACCATCACAGTGACGGGGCAGGGTTTTGACCTGGTGCAGAGCGTCACTATGGAGGTGCTAGACATCGGACAGGCGGTGAGTAACAACAGGGTACATCTCAAGTGTGAAGAGATCAACTCCTGAAGTAGCAAACATCTTAGAAGCAAAAGCTGAAGAATGGACCCCTGCACAGTGTGTACACTTCTAGGTGATGATGGTTTTTTTCTCATCCTCCTGGTCGCTCTCTAGGCCTGTAAGGTGCGGCCTCCATCCATGATCACATGCTCCTCCCCCGCCTCCAGACAATCTCAGCAGGCCACGGTAGAGTTCTTCCTGAACGGAGTCCTCTACACGGGAGATAGCCCTGTCTTTTACGGCCCAGGCCAGGAGGAAGAAGAGGAGCCTCACGGAGGTCACTTCCTGTTGGAGTACGTGGAGGACCCTCAGTTCTTCACTGCCAACAAGGAGAAGCTGATCAAACACCACCCTGGGGAGCCACTCACACTCATCATCAACGTATGTGAACTGCCCAGCGCATCAATGGGAGAGGGTGGGGGTGGGGAGTCTTGTGAGTGACAGCCTAGTCCACCAAATGGGAGAGGGTGGAGCAGGATGAGAACTGAAAGGCCCATTGACCAGGGAGATTAGTGCACTTGTTCTAGGAACTGTCCAGTCCTGTCAATCTCACGTCATTCTGAAAATAAGAATCATGGCTCAATGTCTTTTGTATTAATACTTTAAAAAGATAAAAGACTGTCCCTCTGAAACCTGGGGTGTGTTGAGTTGAGGCCGGGCTGTTCAGAAAGAAAGGTACAAGACATGACCACCACCTCTAAGCAGAACTCAGTCAGACATCTTTGTGTGAGGTCCTGTCTATATTCTAGCAGACTAAGCTACTGCCTCATAAATGACTGCCTCATATATGAGAGAGGATTGAGGGTCTTAATGCTAACAGTCATAAAAAGACTGCTGGATGTCCACTGGTGCTGCTGCGGTACAGACCCTGGGTGCAGTCAGGGAGAGACACAGACAGGGAAAGTTACAGAAATTGGGCTTTGAACATGGTCGGTCTGAGTTCTCTCTCTCTGCCCCTCTCGCTCTCTTTCTCTCCTCTGTGCTTGTGTGTGTGTGTATGTGTGTGTATGTGTGTGTATGTGTGTGTGTGTGTGTGTGTGTGTGTGTGTGTGTGTGTAAGGATGGGGCCCTTACAGGAAATGCTGCCTTAGCCCTGTCTCCTTGGATGAAGGAGGGGGAGGGGCAATGGGCTATTCAGTGTTGCTTCTTGTTTTCTTTACGAAGGTGGATTGCACTTTGGGTGGACCAGGTTGGATGTTTGTGGGCTGGACCAGGTTGAGAGAATGTTGGTTGGAGTGGAACGTGTTTGTTTGATGGGGATTGTTGTTTGGTTAGATCCTATATTAAGGACATCTGTTGGAATGTGGGTGGGTTTTGTTTGCTTTCATCCTGTTTTGGAATTCATTGTTTCGTGCATGTGTTTGTCTGAGTGTGCGTACGTGTTTGAAGGCATGTTTGTGTGCCTGCCTGTGCATTATGCAGGTGTGTGTGTGTGTGTGTGTGTGTGTGTGTGTGTGTGTGTGTGTGTGTGTGTGAGGAAGTGTTTGTTGACAGAGACCCAGGGGGTGGCATCCTGCAGAGGGGACAGGACAGTACAGGGTCCTGAGGGTGTAATCACAGAGAGGAAACACACTGGGGATAAACATACAACCTCTCCTCTCCTCTTCTCCTCACACAGCATTCTCCACTGGTGGATGGGTGGGTGGGTGGGTGCACACGAGGAGGGGACCAGTGCTCCTACAGTGCATTGACGAAGGGGAGGCTGGTGTTTCGATGGACAGTGTCAGTCATGACAGTCATGACAGTCAGTGGGTTAGTCAGTTTGGAGAAAGTGTTCTCTCCATGTCTACTGTTTGATTCTTTAAGCTGAACTCCCGCCCAGTGTGTGAGGAATGTTGTGAAACTAAATGAGTTTGGTACTGGACTACTCAGTGTGACAGTTGAATGACAAGCCTGTGAGCTCTCCCTGCAAAGCATGCGTGTGTGTGTGTGAGTGTGTGTGTGTGTGTGCGCTCACGTGTGTGTGTGCGCCCGTGCTTGTGCGTCAGCTGTGCCTATCCAAGCCAGACCATGGTGTCCCTAGCGCTCTGACTGACAGACGGCTGTTTTTGTTTGGGTCTGGCACAGAAAGGACCGAGCAATCTGGAACTGGCGCCGGAGGAATACTCAGTAACGATTGGCTCCTATCCATGTGACATCAGCTTCCATAACGACCAGCTCTTCCACTGCAGCATCAACGGCTCGCTGGGCTCCAGTGAAGGAGAACTGCCTGTCACCGTAAGTACAACGTCATTACATTCTAAGGCTACTACTTTGGACCACTTTATTATCAATGTTTTGAAACAATGTCCAGTTTGGTTTAGCTACCAATTGAACTACGTCTCGATGATGAGAGTACAGGGACGAGCAACGTGACAGGCCACTCTTGGTCAGGGGACAGGGTGTAACAGTAAACGAATCAAAGAGTAAACCAATCTGCTATCTTTTGTCTATCTGTCCATCCGAATCACACGTGCAGGCACGCAAGCATGTGCGGAAGGCTGCATACCAGCATGCACACACACACACACACACATACACACACACCCTGGGCTTCTGTCTACATGGTTTTTGTTTTGTCTCAGAAGTCTCTGTTTCTAATAGAAGGGCTCAATCAACCAAACTCTCGTTCTCTTTTTCTCTCTCTCCCCCCGCTCTCTTGTCCGTTGCTCATTTCAGCCTGTTTTGAGAGGGCTTATTAGGGAAAATCAGGCAGTTGAGAGCAGTGGATGAGAATGGCCATGTTTGTCAGTCAGTCTGTCTGTCTGTCAGTCTATGGCCCTCACAGACAGTCAGTGAGACGTGAGTCACAGAAAGAGAGAGAGGCAGGGATGGAGTGTAGGAGGGAAAAAACTCTCTCAGGATGTCCATAAATAAACACGCAATTAGCAGACAAACACAGAGAGCAGGGGTCAAACGAGATGTCAAAACACTAACGGTTGGGCTGCCCTCATCTCTCCTGAGAGAGTGTGTGTGTGTGCGTGTGTGTGTGTGCGTGTGTGTGCGTGTGCGTACGTGCGTGCATTTATATATTTGTGTGTGTACCGGTAAATGTGTATATTTGTGTTCTTTGTGCGCTAGCTCCCCCCAGTTTAAAAGGTATGCAAATGCTTAGCTTCTGGGCATTAAAGCAACCTTTTTGATTTCTTCAGTGACTTTTCAGTGGCATACTAGCACCTATTTTTACCTCCCTTTTTTTCCCTTGGCTCAGAAGTGAAGCTGAGCCTCTGTATGGGGGAGCTGTGAGTGAGGGTTTATCTGGGCTGCTGTTCCCCAACCCAAACATGAACACAGAACAATGGCATTTCTTTCCACCACTCTTTCTTGCTTTATTTTCATGGTTTGGAGAAATAAACAGTCATACCAGAGAGAGACCCTGCAGAGAGAGAGACCACTTGTACCCCTCCTCAGTCTAGGAACAGAGGCATATGGGGTTTTAAGACCTGGAGGCAGACATACTGAATTTAGCAACAAGGTTGCGATAGGGAAATTGATTGGACTGGGTATGATTATTGTAGTCCAAGATTCCATATCGGCCAACCAGAAAGCAGAAGTGAAAGTCATCCCTCCAGTCACATCTGTTTACCCTGAACTGGTTGACTCATACCATCACACACATTCCAGTGTGTGTATGTGTGTGCGTGTTAGCCTGAATGTGTATTTGTAGTCCCCTGTAGCTCAGTTGGTAGAGCATGGCGCTTGCAACGCCAGGGTTGTGGGTTCGTATCCCACGGGGGGCCAGTATGAAAATGTATGCACTGGCTAACTGTAAGTGGCTCTGGATAAGAGCATCTGCTAAATGACTAAAATGTGAAAAATGTCTGATTGTGTGTCTGCATTTCTATTCCTCAGAGCATATGTTTGCATGTTGAAAGGGGCCTGCTAAACACCGTTCTCTCCCTCTCCTCTATATCCTCTTTCCTCCTTTTCCTCCCATCTCGCCCTTTCTTTCACTCTCTCTCCTTTCTTTACTCTGTCTCTCCCCCCTCCCCTCTCCCCCTCTCTAGGTGCAGGTGGGTAACTTCCAGAGGATCATAGCCAAGGTGCAGCTGGGTGGTAGTGAGCTGGCCATCGTGGTGTCCATCGTGGTGTGCTGCATCCTGCTGCTGCTGTGCACTGTGGGTAAGTGTCTGGGCTAGTGACGTTGCCGGGGATGATGGATGTCTGGGCAGCCTGGCGACGGATGCTCCAGATGTGAGGGAGATAAAAGGATCTCCGGGGTTAGGGTCTCTCTCCCCCAGTCTACACAGCACAAAGACACCACTGTTACCACTGCTCCCAGTGTGTGTGTGTGTGTGTGTGTGTGTGACGTCTGTGTGTGTGTCTGTGGGTGCGAATGTTTGTTCTCATGTAGTTGTATGTCTGTGTGTGTCTTTTTTTATGTGTTTGTGTGTGTGTGTGTCTTCGACAAGTGTGTGTTTTCATTTCTCTCCAGAAGCTGTTTATGTATGGATCTTTTACAAATGGAGTATGTCCTGATTTATTACAACATGTCAACCTGTGATAACAGGATATGGCTTCAAAGACATCTATTTAATGACTCGTATGTCTCTTTCTGTGTGATTCTCTCCCTCATTCCTCTTTTGTCCCTCTTCTTCTTCTCTCTCTCTCTCTCTCTCTCTCTCTCTCTCTCTCTCTCTCTCTCTCTCTCTCTCTCTCTCTCTCTCTCTCTCTCTCTCTCTCTCTCTCTCTCAGCTCTGGTGGTGTACTGTACTAAGAGCCGGAGGGCGGAGCGCTACTGGCAGAAGACTCTGCTGCAGATGGAGGAGATGGAGTCCCAGATCAGAGAGGAGATCCGCAAAGGTGCAGAACCACACACACACTTGTACTAGCAGAAAGGCAGGAGTTTCTGTGTGATCCCTAATGCTACCAGCAGGTCTCCCTACACTCAGATGTTATTAGCGCTCCATTGAAGTCTCGCTCATGTTCTCTGATGTTCCTGGGCCAAGGCTATATGAGGGAAAACAGAAACGTGGACCTTCACTTACGTATTTGTTTGTGTCTGTGCGTACATGTGGTGGCAGCAGTTGAAAGATGTGTGCATAGTTAGCGTGACTCATAAAACACACAGACTGAGTAGTGATCACTCACTCACACTCACACACACACACACAAACATGGTGGTCACACATTGCTTCAGTTGTGTCTACCCTGTAGGGGCGAAGCGGTAGGGGTGTGAGAGGAGAGGGGAGGGGAGAGGAGGGGAGGGGTCACTGTGGGCCAGTCTGAGCGACCAGATTTATAGGACAGATAGATAAAGATGGATAAATAGAGAAAGAGAAATGGAGAGGGTGAGAGGAAGGGAGGCAGAAATAGGGGCAGGAGTCAGGGACATGTTTCTGTGGGGAGAGGTGTGGGAAGAGGAGGAGGAGAAAGGGAGGAGGACGAGGGAAAGAAGAGGAGAAGAGGTTTGTTAGAGGACATATACAGATGTGTGGGTGAGATCAGGGTGTGTGTGTCAGGGGTGGGGGAAAGGTTTGGGAAGGGAGGAGCAGGTGGGAGGAGAGAAGGGAAGAGGGGAGAAGGGAGGAGCAGGTGGGAGGAGAGAAGGGAAGAGGGGAGAAGGGAGGAGCAGGAGGGAGGAGAGAAGGGAAGAGGGGAGAAGGGAGGAGATGGAGGAAAGTAGCAGTAAAGAGATTGGCATATTGCAGGGACCATCCATCAAGATCACACGTGTCAAACTCATTCCACGGAGGGCCGAGTCTTTTCCGTGTACTTGATTAATGAATTAAGGTCACTAATTAGTAAGGAACTCCCCACACCTGGTTGTCTAGGGCTTAATTAAAAGGAAAAAACAAAAACCTGCAGACACTAGGCCTTACATGGAATGAGTTTGACACCCCTGATCTAGACGAATGAGAATAGTTTGGTATGTGTGGGAGTCATAAGATGTGTGACTGAAGAGCATTGGAATTTGGCTGTGGAGTCAGTCATTGATGGTCAGGCCTGACCAAAGGACTATTTGTCATGGGATGTATTATCCCGAAGGGAAATGCTAAGAGGGTGTTTTGGCCTGAGACACACACACACACACACACACACACACACACACACACACAGTCACACAGAATGTCTCCATGGTGATTAGTGTATAAAACATAAACAAACTTCTCATCCTGAGGAAGGAAGAGCTTGTCCATAAAGAGATCTCCCATGTCCAATAACGAGACAACAGAACATAATCCACTCATACCAGAACCTATGAAACCCATGTGTTTAGATATGCTGATACTGTTATTGTGGGTTTTACTGCTAGCACACATGGTTCTGATAGGAGGCTCTCAGATTGGATCTGGCAGCTCTGATTGTGTTTTGTAAATATTTCCTTGCATGCCGTGCTGGACTGCATATGCTGGCACAGTCATGTGATACCAGAACATGCTAGAATGTAATGTAGTTAAACCTGGATTCTGGGATATTCTAGAATGTGAAAGAATGTTCTAGAATGTTCTACAACTAGGTAGAGACATATGCATGGTTCTGGGCCTGTGTTCTGGAATAAAATACAGAGTTGTCTGAGGTGTTCTAGACTAAATGTCCTGTGAATGGTGGTGAGATTTTGTCCTCTAACCCTGTGGTATCCCTCAAGGCTTTGCAGAGCTGCAGACAGATATGACAGACTTGACTAAGGAGCTGAACAGCAGCCAGGGAATCCCCTTCCTGGAGTACAAACAGTTTGTCACACGCACTTTCTTCCCAAAGGTGAGTCAGTCAGTCTCACACAAACACACCTACCTTCTTCCCCCAAGGTGGGTATCACCTTACTACAACCATTAGAGAGAGAGATTTTCGATCAGGAACAATTTACATTGAATAGTTCTTCACACATCCAAGATATTTTTAGTCGCTAGCGGAGAACATATATTTGTTACAGGTAAGTGTTTTCTCCTCTCTGATGTGCTATCCATCCTTGAAGTATAGTTTTTTTGTCTGCACCTCTGTTTTTCCACAGACAGAGATACAGACAGAACAGTGTGTTTCATGTTTTAACATGAAGTTTCAAGGAGACAGAACAATGCTGGGCACTCACACAAGAAAACTTTCCCTTACTTTCCCCACACACTGCTACAGACAGCACACATTGTACTCACCCATACGCACTTTTACACTTGTGTATGCACACACACTCTTTAGTACAGGGTTCTTCAATTCCGGTCCTGGAGGGCCGAAACACCTCTGTTTTTCATCCTCTCCTTCTAATCAGGGGCTAATTCAAACCTGGGACACCAGGTGAGTGCAATTAACTACCAGGTAGAAATAAAAAACAGAAGTGTTTCGGCCCTCCAGGACCCTGCTTTAGTACAACCTAACCATGGCAGGGAGCTTAGCAGTTAGAGCACGTGTCAAACTCATTCCATGGAGGGCCGAGTGTGCAGGTTTTTGCTCCTCCCTTGTACTTGATTGATGAATTAAGTTCACTAATTAGTAAGGAACTGCCCACACCTGGTTGTCTAGGGCTTAATTTAAAGGAAAATCCCCAAAACACACTCTGATTCTGTCTCTCTGTGTGTTTATCTCAGATGTATTCAGACTATGAGAGGAGTCTGGTCCAGCCCGTCTATGAGAACAACGCCCTCGGTCCACGAGCCCTCCCTGAGACACACCCCCTTCTGCAGGACTGGCAGGTAAAGAGTTAACCCCCTGAAGTGTTCCACTATCCATTCTCCTCTCTACCTCCAGCGCCTTGATTCTATTCCTCTACTTCCTCGCTCCTCTGCTTCACAACTGGGTCACACTGATTATTAAGTCTCCACGGTGAGGCTGTTGATTAGGAGTAACTATAGAAGGAAACCACAACTGTGTGTGTGTGTGTGTGTGTGTGTGTGTGTGTGTGTGTGTGTGTGTGTGTGTGTGTGTGTGCATGTTTTGTATATACATTGCATTTTAATTCCTATTCACCAGCTGCCAGTCCTTTTGATTCAGGCAGTTTTCATGTTGTCAAACACTACCCCAGCCCACCCAGACACTGGCAGATTGTTGACACACTTCCCAACATCTCAATGATAATGGCACCACACACATTCTATCGCAACCATAAGGACAGCCACCTCTGTTGGTTGTGTGTGTGTGTGTGTGTGTGTGTGTGTGTGTGTGTGTGTGTGTGAGAAAGAGAGAGATCTACTATTGCATCACTGCATGGTTTTGGGTCAACAGCCTGGGGAGCCTGTCTAAGAGTGATAAAGTGTTTCAGATCCTCACCGTCTTCCCGTGTTTTCCAGGCCACAGCGTCCAAATCTCACTGGCCGCCATTTATCACCACTCTCCTTCTGTCACTGTGAAAACAGGAGCATATTGCTGCAGTCCAGGGGGAAGACTTTATAAGAGCACTGCTTAGATGCACCGTTAGATAGGATATGATCTCATTAACTAGGCTGAGAGTGTTTTCGAAGACAATATTAGAAAGCACCAGCGGACTGTGATGATATTAAGAGAGAGCAGGTGAAAAGCTCAGAGGTGGAAACTGCATAATGAGTTTTAGTGGTCATACCCTGATCATATGGAGTTATGAGGTGGATTTGGGTTAGGGAGGAGGCTGATTGAACAGGTTGGTTAAATACACATACTGTAACTCCCTCTTTTCTCTTTTCTCTCCTCTAATTCTCTTTCTCTCTCCAGCCCTCTAACACAGCCAAGCCTAACATGGAAGAGGGCATAACTCTCTTCTCCACCCTTCTCAACAACAAGCACTTCCTGGTTACCTTCGTCCACGCGCTGGAGCAACAGAAGGACTTTGCCGTACGCGACAGGTAACCATGAAAATCATGACAACCATACACACTTCAAACCCAAAGCACTGTGACTGTCTACTGCAGCACAAGGGCCCGATTCCGACCCAAGTTAAGCGCCCGTAAATGGAACGTTATTCCCTTTTTGTGAATGTTTCTCTCTATGTTAATTCTGACCTTGAACTTAAGCATGAGAATAGCATGCTATTCACCCGCTATTCATTAGGGGTGGAGATCTAAGAAATGAAGGTGTGGAGGAGGTGTGTCTACAAATAAATTGTATTCTGCCCTTGACTTAATTCCCTCACAATTCCATCCCCTTTGCACGCGAGGAAACCATGAATAAGGTAGAGCAAACCTACCGGTTCCAAGTGGGAAAAGCATCTACTTTCTTTTTTCAGATAGAAATAACAGCATTTTCCATGCACTGTGGAAAAATGGATGAGCTATTGATAAGTGCTAGGTAAATTAGTAATACGTTTGGAGAAGGGGATTGTAAATGCATATAGCAATTGTTTTAGATTATTTTTCTTTATGATCCCTGGAGACTAATGTGAAACCAGCCATATGGAAGCAAACTGAAAATCAAATCAACATGACATATATTTTCCACAGTGAAACAGGTTATAAACAAGTATAAAAAATGTATGCACTCACTAACTGTAAGTCGCTCTGGATAAGAGCGTCTGCTAAAATGACGTAAATGTAAAAAATAAATAGCTGTGCTGTTATTCCGAATTTTAATTGTGTGGCCTCATAATTTGATGTATGCGCTTTATAATGTTTTAATTATAGCCTATACCCAGGCTTTTTTCTGTTTTATTTTACAATTTGTATCATGTTAAATATTAGCCACTATCGGGAGCCACCGTCAGTAAAACTCACATACATTTATAACTGTCACTTTAGCTTACATTTTGCATCATTTTATTCCATTTAGTTTACCTTTCTTTCCTCTGTCACGTCCGTGTAAGTTGTTCCTGAGGGTCGCTAGCATTAGTGGATCATATTAGGCTAACGTTGTGCAATAATTTGGGACATGTAGCCTATTTGAATCATTATGGAACTCAGACCACACGTAGCAGGTTAAACCCGGAGCCTGGTGCACGCTTTACAACGACTGGACTGTTGTCATACAGTTAGTAGATTAGTGAGAATTAGGGTAGATGTATAGGACTATTGGTCAACCCCTGTTGTAAACTTTTTTCCACCTTCCAATGTTTCATGGATTGAATTTGAATATGACAACTTTCAGGATGAATCAAACCAATGTATTTTTTATTCATCAATATATTTTGTGAGTAAAGGCTCTCCAAACCAGTTTTTCTTAATGATTCATACATACTTTCCTAACCCTAAAATGTGCCTACATAATCTACAAGATCAGAGTATTTTGACATCTACCAGTTCAATCAATCAAATGTATTTATAAAGCCCTTTTATACAGAAACCCAGCCTAAAACCCCAAACGGCAAGCAATGCAAATGTAGAAGCACGGTGGCTAGGAAAAACTCCCTAGAAAGGCAGGAACCTACATTTTACATTTTAGTAATTTAGCAGACGCTCTTATCCAGAGCGACTTACAGTTAGTTACCTAGGAAGAAACCTAAAGAGGAACCAGGCTCTGAGGGGTGGCCAGTCCTCTTCTGGCTGTGCTGGGTGGAGATTATAAGAGTACATGGCCATTTAAGGCCAGATTGTTCTTCAAGATGTTCAAACGTTCATAGATGACCAGCAGGGTCAAATAATAATGACAGTGGTTGTAGAGGGTGCAACAGGTCAGTACCTCAGGAGTAAATGTCAGGAGACTATTATGCATAGATTTAGATGGCTTTCTTTTATTGATCCCTATTTTCTGAACCATTTCTCTCAATGTATTCTAGTCTGTCACCAAAATTCTAAATAAAGGTACACAGTATTTAAAGGGATAGCTTAAAATTAAGATAAATGTACTGACAACCCTATTCCACAAGAAAATATGTTGGCCAGCAAGTGGGAGGGTTTTCAGCGGTTGAATTACATTTATTTAGCGCGTGCAAGGGAACCACGCCTGCAAAGCCCGTTACACACCTGCACAAGGTAAGTCTGAATATCAACTACTGAGAAATGTGTAAGAAAGGCGTAATTTCCTAAGTCGGAATCGTGCCCTAACTGATTATCCTATGTATCCACCTCTTCCCAGTTCAAAGTGTTTATGTGTAGAATATGACAGCTCCATACAACACCTCAGCATATCAGTGTAAAAACAGAACGTTGTTCTGGAGGCTCCTCAAAAACCTGGGAGATTCCCGAGGCCCACCCTAGCAGAGTTGCCAACAACCGGATGCATCCAGTTTTCAGGGATACAGCTATCTTCAACCTAGCTTCCTTTTCTGCTGAAAAATGGATTTAGGAACTCAGGCGTTTGTTTTATGCCTGCTACATTAGGTTACCCGAGGCCAGACCACTTCCCTCCCTCTCCAGGCTAAGCACCACAGCAGTGGTTTGGCCATAATGTTTCCCCTGCCTGGTCTCCTGGATGAAAGGCTCTTTGTTATGGAAATCACCCCCTCCACACCCTCTGTCCATTTAGACCACTCATAAGTAAAGCGGTGCCAGTTAAGAAGGGAAACCTGAGTGTGGTGGCATCAGCTGATGCCATCAGCAGATATTGCGTCAAATGGATTCACACTCTACTTACATGCGGTCTATTTAAGTTGACCAGTTGTACACATGCTTCCTCAATGCCAGATGTCACATGCACACATGTGCTGGTGTCTCTTGCTAATGCCAAGACTGTGCATTGTTATCTTTTCAAATAAATGGTTAGACGTACAAGTGGTGTTTCCCTTCTGAACAACATAACAGTGCGTTCTCCGTTGTGGGGAGTAAATCATCTTTCATGAATTGGATATGTCTCTGTACTCACACACATTTTTGTGTTTTTCTTTTGTCTCTCTCTTCTCAGGTGTAGCCTGGCGTCCCTGCTCACTATCGCCCTCCATGGTAAACTAGAGTACTACACCAGCATTATGAAGGATCTGCTGGTGGACCTGATCGATGCCTCGGCCGCCAAGAACCCCAAGCTGATGCTGCGACGCACAGAGTCTGTGGTGGAGAAGATGCTCACCAACTGGATGTCCATCTGCATGTACAGCTACCTCAAGGTGAGGGAGGGAGTGAGGGAGGTAGGGAGGGAGGGAGGGAGGGGTAATAAAAAAGAGACTCACCTTGACCTTTTTATCAAATCATGAGGATCCACTGTCAATGTTGTTGTAGCCCCTTACTGAGAAACAGTCATCATTCCTTAGTTGTCAAACCTTTCTGTCACGTTGTTAACATGCTACTGTGATGTTTTCTTCAGGAGACAGTGGGCGTGCCCTTCTTCCTACTACTGTCTGCCATCAAGCAGCAGATCAACAAGGGTTCTATAGACGCCATCACAGGGAAGGCCCGGTACACCCTCAACGAGGAGTGGCTGCTCAGAGAGAACATTGAGGCCAAGCCACAGGTCAGTCACCACACGGCAATGCTGATGTCATATACTGACCACTGATTGGTTAATAAAAAAGGAAAAAGTCTTGCTGTATGCATGTATCATGCGTCAATCATTCACCTCTATACAATCCTGTTTTATATTGTCCTAATTAAATAATTGTGACCTACCCTGCCTCCTCTAATGTCCTCCCTCTCTTTGTGTGTGTCCAGAACATCAACGTGTCGTTCCAGGGCTGCGGGATGGACTCTCTGGTTGTGAGGGTGATGAACACAGACACCATCTGCCAGGTGAAGGATAAGATTCTAGATGCCTTCTATAAGAACCTGCCCTTCTCCCAGTGGCCCCAGGCAGAGGACGTAGACCTGGGTGAGAAAACTGTATTTTATTCTCCTTCCTTTATTTAGAGTCCTCATTGAGGAAGAAATGTTTTGAAAGGGAGCGCTGATCAACTCTTGCTTTGTAGCTCAACTAACATGAAGCTCGTGCAATAGATGGCCAAATGCATTTGAACATTTATGACATTCTTTCCTTTTCCTCGTCCCTCTCTCTCTTTTCTTCCCCTCTCTGCTGTCCTGTAGAATGGTTTGCGTCTGGTAGCAACAGCAGGATCCTCCAGGACCTGGATAACACTTCAGTGATGGAGGATGGCAGGAAGAAACTCAACACAGTCACGCATTACCAGGCAAGGCTCTGCTCCCACCACACACACATCATCTCACCTGTGCGTGTGTGTGCGTGCGCAAGTGAATGTGTGCGTGGTGTGTGTGTGTGAGGTGTTTCCCTGACATTGTCACACTCACAGCAAGGTTAACAGAGAGGTGAGGGTGAGAAGTCACTGTACATGTTGATTGCCCGAGTTGTGCCACATTCTGTTTATCTGTGTTTTCATACAAATGGGTGTCAATACAGTATGTGTGTGGTTTCCTCTGTGACTGTGTGTGTTTGTGTGTCATCTTACACATGCAGTATGTTAGTGTGTGATTTCTGTTTTTGTTTGTATCTGTCATTGTCTGTGGGTATTTGTTTGTCTTGGCGTTTTTAAATTTTTTGGGGGGGTCTTTGCATTTTCTAGTGTCTTGTTATGTTTGTAATGTGTCCGAGTAATTATGTGTGTCTGAGTGTATTTGTGTATCTGAGTGACCTCTAACCTTTGCCCTGTTACCAGTGCTGTTTCGTGCTCTGTTTAGTAAGTGCTGAGCTATAGAGAGCTGTGAAGGCAGCGAGGCACAGTGTGTACCAACAGTCTCGGTTCACTGGCAAGGCTGTTCAATCCATTTCACTGTGTTGACTTTAATGAGCCCAGCGAGCCCCCCTGCAACCCCCCCACAGCCCCCCTGCCACTTCAGACACACCCACACACCCAAACACACACACACACCCTGAGGCAGCGGTTAATGATCCAGTTCTCGTGCCCCCCCTCTCACCCCTGTCCCTGTGACCTCTGAACCCTCCCACAGATCCCAGAGGGGGCGTCGTTCGCCATGAGCATGAAAGACAAGAGAGACAACACCCTGGGGAGAGGTAGGTCACACACACACACTCTGTCACCTTGTCACACACTCCTACATGCTTAGAAAAACATTAACTTTATTATGGTCAAACTGCACACACTCACTTCATCCTGATCATATTACACACATACAGTGAGGGAAAAAAGTATTTGATCTCCTGCTGATTTTGTACGTTTGCCCACTGACAAAGAAATGATCAGTCTATAATTTTAATGGTAGGTTTATTTGAACAGTGAGAGACAGAATAACAACAAAAACATCCAGAAAAACGCATGTCAAACATTTTATAAATTGATTTGCATTTTAATGAGGGAAATAAGTATTTGACCCCCTCTCAATCAGAAAGATTTCTGGCTCCCAGGTGTCTTTTATACGGGTAACGAGCTGAGATTAGGCTCCCGAGTGGCGCAGCGGTCTAAGGCACTGCATCTCAGTGCTTGAGGCGTCACTACAGACCCCCTGGTTCGATTCCAGGCTGTATCACAACCGGCCGTGATTGGGAGTCCCATAGGGCGGCGCACAATTGGCCCAGCGTCGTCCAGGTTTGGCCGGTGTAGGCCATCATTGTAAATAATAATTTGTTCTTAACTGACTTGCCTAGTTAAATAAAGGTAAAATAAAAATAAATTAAAAAACACTCTTAAAGGGAGTGCTCCTAATCTCAGCTTGTTACCTGTATAAAAGACACCTGTCCAAAGAAGCAATCAATCAGATTCCAAACTCTCCACCATGGCCAAGACCAAAGAGCTCTCCAAGGATGTCAGTGACAAGATTGTAGACCTACACAAGGCTGGAATGGGCTACAAGACCATCGCCAAGCAACTTGGTGAGAAGGTGACAACAGTTGGTGTGATTATTCGCAAATGGAAGAAACACAAAAGAACTGTCAATCTCCCTCGGCCTGGGGCTCCATGCAAGATCTCACCTCGTGGAGTTGCAATGATCATCAGAACGGTGAGGAATCAGCCCAGAACTACACGGGAGGATCTTGTCAATGATCTCAAGGCAGCTGGGACCATAGTCACCAAGAAAACAATTGGTAACACACTATGCCGTGAAGGACTGAAATCCTGCAGCGCCCGCAAAGTCCCCCTGCTCAAGAAAGCACATATACAGGCCCGTCTGAATTTTGCCAATGAACATCTGAATGATTCAGAGGAGAACTGGGTGAAAGTGTTGTGGTCAAATGAGACCAAAATCGAGCTCTTTGGCATCAACTCAACTCGCTGTGTTTGGAGGAGGAGGAATGCTGCCTATGACCCCAAGAACACCATTCCCATCGTCAAACATGGAGGTGGAAACATTATGCTTTGGGGGTGTTTTTCTGCTAAGGGGACAGGACAACTTCACCACATCAAAGGGACGATGGACGGCGCCATGTACCGTCAAATCTTGGGTGAGAATCTCCTTCCCTCAGCCAGGGCATTGGAAATGGGTCGTGGATGGGTATTTCAGCATGACAATGACCCAAAACACACGGCCAAGGCAACAAAGGAGTGGCTCAAGAAGAAGCACATTAAGGTCCTGGAGTGGGACAAAATCCCTCCTGAGATGTGTGCAAACCTGGTGGCCAACTACAAGAAACATCTGACCTCTGTGATTGCCAACAAGGATTTTGCCACCAAGTACTAAGTCATGTTTTGCAGAGGGGTCAAATACTTATTTCCCTCATTAAAATGCAAATCAATTGATAACATTTTTGACATGTGTTTTTCTAGATTTTTTTGTTGTTATTCTGTCTCTCATTGTTCAAATAAACCTACCATTAAAATTATAGACTGATCATGTCTTTGTCAGTGGGCAAACGTACAAAATCAGCAGGTGATCAAATACTTTTTTCCCTCACTGTACACACACATCAAACCACAGACATACATACATTTCCCGCCAATAAAACACGCTGTAACACACTCTCGCTTAATCAATCACACACGGATGCATGCACACGCACACATCTGTACATTTAGACCTTTCAACAGCATGGTTGATGTCCAGTATCCATAAGCCTGAACAGATATCTAGCCCCAGATGAAACAGGAGGGGGTGGTGTTCCCTGTACCAGATGATTCCTCTACTGGGACGTTAACGTTCCGGTCCAGTCTGCTAACCTCATCCAGAACAGATCTTAGTTCTGACAGACCACTCTGTCCACACTAATGATTAGGGCCTCTCCTCTCAGTCATGCTGGGCCAGAAACAGGCTAAATGGGTGTGAAGGAAACCCTGGCTAATGTAAAACACATTTACCCCTCTCTGTGATCACCTCAGAGGGTCTGGACTGGGACCGAGGCCTAAACCTGTCTGCCTGCCAAGACTAGGCCTCGAGTAATGAGAGCACATTCACCATGGGGCTGTGTGTGTGTGTGTGTGTGTGTGTGTGTGTGTGTGTGTGTGTGTGTTTGTTTGTGTGTGTGTGCATGCAAACCAAGAAGAGACGGAACCTCTGCCCTAACGATGCCTGGGCTTTGTAAACTCATTAGACTGGCTCCAGGACCAATCACAAACTCCATGTCTGCCTGTCTCTGTTTCTCTTCAGCTTTTCTCCCTCTCATTCTTTTCACTCATAATCTTTCTTTTTTTCACTCCACTCCCAATTCACCTTAATCGTTCACGCTCACATACACTCTCTCTTTTTCCATAAACCCCTCTCTCTTCCTTTTTGCTGTCTATCACTCGTCTACCACACTCCTCCAATCTTCTTTCTTTCAAACTCTCTCTCTCTCTCTCTCTCTCTCTCTCTCTCTCTCTCTCTCTCTCTCTCTGTCTCTCTGTCTCTCTGTCTCTCTGTCTCTCTGTCTCTCTGTCTCTCTCTCTCTCTCTCTCTCTCTCTCTCTCTCTCTGTCTCTCTCTCTCTCTCTCTCTCTCTCTCTCTCTCTCTCTCTCTCTCAGGTCTCCTCCTCTGATTTGTCATTGTTTTATTTCTGTATTTTCTCTCCCTCTGCAGCCAAAGACTTGGACACAGAGAAATATGTCCATTTGGTAAGTACACACACACACACACACACACACACACACACACACACACACACGGACAGAGAGTGTTCTCATTCACCTCTATTGACCCCGTTCCCACTGCCATCAGCCCATTGGTCTCAGAGAGAGCTCAATTTAACACAGACACAGTGAAAGCCTGAGCAATACATCTGACTACACACTTTCATAAGAGTTTGAGTGTGCATGTGCATATAGGAAAGCTGGAGCAAGAACATGAAAGCACTAATATCACATAAGCCATTGAAAAAAACTCATATGACTTTGGGTTTGACATAATGCGTTCTCTGGCATACATTTCACTGAGGGATAGCTTTAGTCAATTTTAGTGAGCAGTTTTTTGATGTGGGACTTCATATTATGGTGTGCTGGACTGGAGCTTATTGACAGGCTCAGTAGAGGGAAAACGCCACTCTCTTTCTACTCCACCTCCATACCACTGTCCTAGCTAAGACCTGTAGGAGCATGTTACACATGATACTGGTACTGCGTAAGAGAAAATTCCAGAATTTCCCAACTTGCAGTATTTCATAAAGTGACATAATGTTAGTCATACCTCATAAATCCCCACTGTGATTCCTGGGTCGTATTCAGGAGGCAAGAATAAGAGAAAGCCTCCTGAAATGGATGACGCATTAAGTGAACTTTTCCAAAAATAACACTTTCTTTTCATTTCATCTCCCTGTCAAATGTAAGTCACACCTCCGTAGTAGATTCCCATTTAGATTGAGGTCATTTCCCACCATGCTGATTGGATGTTTTTGTACCCTGACCTCTAACCTCTAATCTCTGCCCCTGCCCATCTAGGTCCTGCCTCATGATGAGCTGTTTGAGAATAAGAAGTCCCACAGACAGAGTCACCGTAAGAAGGTCCTCCCTGAGATCTACCTGACACGCCTCCTCTCCACCAAGGTAAGAAAAAAAAAACGATGTGTCAGCCATCTTAAACGATTTGCAGTCTACAATACTGTGACAGAAAGCAGTGCCAGCCTAGTTTGAGTGCCCGTCTGTTACTGCTTCAGCTAGCCAACTCCTTGGCATGTCCAATTGTGAGCCTAAACAGTTTGGCATGACAATCACAGAGTAGTTGGCTAAAGCAAAGGCATCATTCCATTACCATTATGAATCAATCCATCATCAGTTCTATTTACAGTGACATCATCCTGGAATTCAAAACAATCCATCTTGATCCCAGTTCTGGTTCCGTGTCTGATCCCATCTGTGTTGTGATTCCGTAGGGAACGTTGCAGAAGTTCCTGGATGACCTTTTCCAGGCCATCCTCAGTATTCCTGCAGAGCGTCCCCCACTGGCCATCAAATACTTCTTTGACTTCCTGGAGGAGCAGGCGGACAAGAGAGGCATCACCGACCCTGACACCCTGCACATCTGGAAGACCAACAGGTAGGGGAATTCAATGAGATACATCTAATCATCTACTCATCAATGTAGCATGATGCACTAGAGTACCCATAATGCAAAATGTTTTCTGAAGCTCACATAATGTTTTCCCATCTCCTTAGTTTACCCCTGCGTTTCTGGGTGAACATCCTGAAGAACCCTCAGTTTGTGTTTGACATTGATAAGACGGATCACATGGATGCCTGTCTGTCTGTCATCGCCCAGGCCTTCATAGATGCCTGCTCCATTTCAGACCTGCAGCTGGGCAAGGTGAGACATTCAAACACTTTACACATGCATTACACACGCCTACACATACATAATCACTGCTAGGTGAATACATTTATATTTTAGTCATTTAGCAGACGCTCTTCTCCAGAGTGACTTACAGTTAGTGAGTGCATACGTTTTCATACTGGCCCCCCGTGGGAATCGAACCCACAACCCTGGCGTTGCAAGCACCATGCTCTACCAACTGAGCTACACGGGACCTACACACTCATAGACAGGTTGGTAGGTAGGTAGGTTAAACATCCAGGCATAAGCGATATAAGTGGTCGGGGTGTCAACTTACTGTTGAGAGTTAGAATAGTAGAATAAACAAGGTGTAAGTTCGAAATTTGGTTGTGCATCAGCAGTTTTTCAATTTTTTTGTCAGTCATTGACTTTCACTCAATTAGCCATGTCAGCTAACAATTTTTTGATTGTAAGTTAGTCTAGCCTGTTATCTGAACTTGTAGTTATCATGGCCGAATACCGACCGGGCACACATGGCATAAGCCATGACAAAATATGTAGAATTGTAGGAAATTAGCTTTAAAACTGCAAAGATTTCTCTCCACCCCATGGCAGAATGGGTAGAATTACAGGAAATTTGCTTTAAAACGGCAAAAATCCATCTCTGCATCATGACAAAATAAGTAGAATTGCATGACATTTCTTATAAAATTGCAATATTTTCTCTACGCCGCCTTGGCAAAATGTGTAGTATTGCTGGATATTAACTTTAAAAAGTAAAAAAATTTATCCACTGTCAAGAGGCGGACCACAAAAATTGGTGAATGAAACGACATTACAGATATCACCTTTTACTTGAGGGTATTTTAATACATACAGTGGGGAAAAAAAGTATTTAGTCAGCCACCAATTGTGCAAGTTCTCCCACTTAAAAAGATGAGAGAGGCCTGTAATTTTCATCATAGGTACACGTCAACTATGACAGACAAAATGAGAAAATAAAATCAAGAAAATCACATTGTAGGATTTTTAATGAATTTATTTGCAAATTATGGTGGAAAATAAGTATTTGGTCACCTACAAACAAGCAAGATTTCTGGCTCTCACAGACCTGTAACTTCTTCTTTAAGAGGCTCCTCTGTCCTCCACTCGTTACCTGTATTAATGGCACCTGTTTGAACTTGTTATCAGTATAAAAGACACCTGTCCACAACCTCAAACAGTCACACTCCAAACTCCACTATGGCCAAGACCAAAGAGCTGTCAAAGGACACAAGAAACAAAATTGTAGACCTGCACCAGGCTGGGAAGACTGAATCTGCAATAGGTAAGCAGCTTGGTTTGAAGAAATCAACTGTGGGAGCAATTATTAGGAAATGGAAGACATACAAGACCACTGATAATCTCCCTCGATCTGGGGCTCCGCGCAAGATCTCACCCCGTGGGGTCAAAATGATCACAAGAACGGTGAGCAAAAATCCCAGAACCACACGGGGGGACCTAGTGAATGACCTGCAGAGAGCTGGGACCAAAGTAACAAAGCCTACCATCAGTAACACACTACGCCGCCAGGGACTCAAATCCTGCAGTGCCCAGACGTGTCCCCCTGCTTAAGCCAGTACATGTCCAGGCCCGTCTGAAGTTTGCTAGAGTGCATTTGGATATCCAGAAGAGATTGGGAGAATGTCTATGGTCAGATGAACCAAAATATAACTTTTTGGTAAAACTCAACTCATCGTGTTTGGAGAACAAAGAATGCTGAGTGCATCCAAGACCACATACCTACTGTGAAGCATGGGGGTGGAAACATCATGCTTTGGGGCTGTTTTTCTGCAAAGTGACCAGGGACGTCCGTGTAAAGGGACCAGGGGAACGTCCCCAAGCAGGGCATGAGATGATTGCTCCATGAAATGCGCAGCCCACAGTGGTTCGTAAACCATCACCAGTCTCCAGATCTCAACCCCATAGAAAATCTTTGGAGGGAGTTGAAAGTCCGTGTTGCCCAGCGACAGCCCCAAAACATCACTGCTCTAGAGGAGATCTGCATGGAGGAATGGGCCAAAATACCAGCAACAGTGTGTGAAAACCTTGTGAAGACTTACAGAAAACGTTTGACCTGTGTCATTGCCAACAAAGGGTATATAACAAAGTATTGAGAAACTTTTGTCATTGACCAAATACTTATTTTCCACCATAATTTGCAAATAAATTCATTAAAAATCCTACAATGTGATTTTCTGGATTTTCTTTTCTCATTTTGTCTGTCATAGTTGACGTGTACCTATGATGAAAATTACAGGCCTCTCATCTTTTTAAGTGGGAGAACTTGCACAATTGGTGGCTGACTAAATACTTTTTTTTCCCACTTTATTCTCTTACACTCAGAAAAAAAAATCCATTGACATTTTAGTCATTTAGCAGACGCTCTTATCCAGAGCAACTTACAATTATTGAATTAATCTTAAAATAACTAGGTGAGACAACCACATATCATTGTTTTGACAAGTACGGTTTCCCTCAGCAAAGTAGTTATCAGCAAAGTCAGTGCTAGTAGGAAAAGAAAAGTGCAGTTTATACACACACACGCACACTTTCCAACTGGGGAGATATCCCCAGATTCCTCCCCAGTCCTTGCCAACCTTCCTCCCTCTTCTCTCCAGTCAGTCCGTCAGCTCTGTCTACCTCTCCTCATGTTATTTCAGCCCAGTCTACTCAACCAAGGTCATGAGCACCAGGAATCCCCTCTGTGTGTGTGTGTGTGTCTGTGTATGTGTGTCTTTCAGTGCCCTCACTCCCCACAAATCAGTCTCATCCCTCAGACGTTATGACCCCTAGCATACACACTGCTTCCTGTCACTCTGACTGACTTCCTCCCTGGAGATATTTGTCAAACAATGCTGATCTATTCCACTTTTTCATTGCCAAAGAGCCAATGCAAGTACCTCAAGCATGTAAAACACAGAAACACACAAATACACACAAACAAGCACACCATTGCATCGTAAAACATCCAGATGCTCATCTTTTCTCTGCCTGTTATTGGGAAGGGCTTCAGCTGTGCTGCCTGTAAATAATGTTTATGTTGCCTGTTGTTGAGAGTAGTAGGACACTAGATGTATTAGACTGAGTGGAGACAGGTGTTAAGGTGTTGCTTAACCTCTCTATTTTCTGTCATCTCTGCTTGAGTGGTCAGCATAGGGAGAGCAGTGCAGGAAAAGTCTGGAACCATTGCTGTGTGTTTGGTTTTTTGTTTTACTGTACTTATGAGGACCAGAAGTCCTCACAAGAATAGTAAACCAAAGAGAATTCTGACATTTGGCCGCTCCTAAAAAGAAAAAAGGCTAAGGGGTTAGGTTTAGAACTAGGGTTAGGGCAGCGTTTCCCAAACTCGGACCTCGGGACCCAAGGTGTGCACGTTTAGTTTTTTTCCCTAACACTACACAGCTGATTCAAATTACCAAAGCTTGATGATTAGTTGATTATTTGAATCAGCTGTGTAGTTAGTACTAGGGCAAAAACCAAAACGTGCCCCATTGGGGTCCAGAGGACCGAGTTTGGGAAACCCTGGGTTAGGGTAAGATTTAGGTTTAGGGGTTAGGATAAATAGGACTGAATGGGAATCAATTGTTTGTCCCCAAAAAGTCCTCACAAGTATAATACACGTGTGTACGTGTGTGCATGCGTGCGCACGTGTGTACCGGTCAGAGGACAGGACAGGTCATTAAGAGGTCTGGATTAGACGTCGCTCTGCAGGGGTGAGAGAGGGCTTGGAAACGAAGCTGTTTCCACGGAAACCTTATCTGGTGGCCTGCAGACAGACAGTAGGGATGGAGGGGGTGTGGGCAGTTATTAGGGGTCAAGGGGGGTCGTCAGGCAGATGGAGGAACCACAGGAAATGAAATGACCTTGTGGACAGGAAGAGAGGGATTCCTATCAGGAGGAGGGGCAGTGGCTGGAGTCTTCCTAGCTTCGATACCACACACACACACACACACACACACACACACACACACACACACACGCAAATGCATAGCCTACATATCTGAATGCTCAGCTCAACCCAATACCTTGTATGTGAACCTTTCTTAGTGATTGAATAATGCTTTCAGTACCATTGTAAATGCTGTCAGTAACTTGGAGAAGTAGCAGATGTAAGTAGAAGGAAGGGTTGTTATGTCTGGCCTGGTTCTCTGTGGCTGTGGATATGGTTTGTTTAACTTTCCTATTGTGAGGAGAGGAAACCCTGGCACCTCCCTTCATTGTCTCAGGGAGGTGCTGACCTACTCACTCACTGATAACACCAACCAACCACTCCCTATGACCATAGACCAACCATGTATCAACCATAGACCAACCACACTATGACCACAGACCATGCTGCCCACAGTCTCATGAACAACTCACTGACCATAGACCACACTCACCGTACACTGATGCTAGACTGGACTGAGCCCTGTCATACTGAAAACAATCTGACAACCATACACAGGCAGTGGTTATTTACATACAGATCTTGGTCAGGAGAGTGGTTAAGGATAGAACTAGTTTGGTTGAGTGTTAAAAGATCAAGTTCCAGGGAGGTTACTTTGACTAAATAGGACTTTGTCTCTTGTTTCAGGACTCTCCCACTAACAAGCTGCTGTATGCCAAGGAGATCCCAGAGTACAAGAAGAGGGTGCAGTGCTACTACAAGCAGATCCAGGAGATGGCGCCACTGAGTGAGCAGGAGATGAACGCCCACTTGGCCGAGGAGTCACGGGTGAGAGAGCGAGGGGTGACAGATCAATACATGATTGATTAATTGTAATTTGTCAGCCTTGGTGGTGGACTGTTACTGCATTCAACTGTGCTACACTGTTCATCCATGTATTACTTTTTTGAGTTTTTTTTGTCTGATGGATTTATATCATAACAATACGCTCACTCTGTTTTCGGTTCCACAGAAATACAGAAATGAGTTCAATACCAACCTGGCCTTGACGGAGATCTACAAATACGCCAAGAAATACAGAAACCAGGTAAGATCCCCTATCTCTCTCACTACCTCTGCCCTGGATAAGCTGTTTGACACGTTTAAACTGGCCCTATCTCCAGCCTTATCACCAGTCTATATTCCACATGGAGTTTAGAGTTTCAGAGAGAGAGATGAGTATCAGGGCATGAAGCATCAGTACAGGAGATCACACGCTTCTTTAAAGATCTAACGGCCTCTTCACAACCCCACACACCCTCTTTCATCCAGAGACCCAAAATATCCCTCTACACCCAGATCATATAGAGACCCAAACTATGTTCCTGACGTTCTCCCAATAATAGCCACATTCTCTTCTGAACCCTCCTCAACCAAATACATACCCAACAGCACAGCGCTTGTGACCCCACGTGCTCCACATCCTGTCCTTAACTTTCCGCCAGCACAACCTTTACCACACAAGACCTCGTCATCAACCACCCCTATCGGTTTAATGACAGCCCCCCCCCCCCCCCCCCCCCCCCCCCCCCCCCCCCCCCCCCCCCCCCCCCCCCCCAAACGCACACGCACACACACACACACACACACCTACTGTTCCGTGGAATGATTCAGACATTGATAATGTCTGACGGCCCTCATCATAATGTCTGAGGGCCCTCATCATAATGTCTCACGGCCCTCATCATAATGTCTGACGGCCCTCATCATAATGTCTGACGGCTCTCATCATAATGTCTGACGGCCCTCATCATAATGTCTGACGGCTCTCATCATAATGTCTGACGGCTCTCATCATAATGTCTGACGGCTCTCATCATAATGTCTGACGGCTCTCATCATAATGTCTGACGGCCCTCATCATAATGTCTGACGGCTCTCATCATAATGTCTGACGGCCCTCATCATAATGTCTGACGGCTCTCATCATAATGTCTGACGGCCCTCATCATAATGTCTGACGGCTCTCATCATAATGTCTGACGGCCCTCATCATAATGTCTGACGGCTCTCATCATAATGTCTGACGGCCCTCATCATAATGTCTGACGGCCCTCATCATAATGTCTGACGGCCCTCATCATAATGTCTGACGGCTCTCATCACAATGTCTGACGGCCCTCATCACAATGTCTGACGGCTCTCATCATAATGTCTGACGGCTCTCATCATAATGTCTGACGGCTCTCATCATAATGTCTGACGGCTCTCATCATAATGTCTGACGGCTCTCATCATAATGTCTGACGGCTCTCATCATAATGTCTGACGGCCCTCATCATAATGTCTGACGGCCCTCATCATAATGTCTGACGGCCCTCATCATACGTGTTTAGCTGCTGTTCACTGCCATTCTCCTGTACCAGCAGACACCAGGGCCCGGTTGCATAAAACAGCTTAAGTTAATTTCCCCCGTATCTTTTCCCTTAAAGTTTCCTAAACTTTAAGTCAGCTGCATAAAACATTTTAAGGCGCATTCCCCCCTTAAAAACACTTTCTTGTAGTGGAATGACCAAAGTGCCCTCTAACACTTAAGATGTTTTATGCAACCAAGCCCTGGCACTCAGAGGTTTCTCTGGGACTCTCTATGAATCACTTCTGATTACACATTCTCTCTCTCAGCCCTCTCACTGGGCACATGCTGACAGTAACACCCACTGAACGCATGACAACTATCAGGCATGAAAGGCAGCACATACGTGGGTTTTGTAAATAGTATGTGAACAGGAAAGGCTTTTGTGGGGAGAGAGGCATGCGTGAAGGCTGAAGAACGGCTGAAGTACTCTCTTTCTCTGTCCGGGCAGGTGGTTGAGTTTCTGTCCTGTGCTGTAGAATGCATGAATGCTTGACGGCTACTGAAATGAGTCTCTCTCTTTCTATTTCTCTATCTCGCTCTCATTCTCTAACTATGGGTAGATAAGTTTTGTAAGGTTGCTGGCTTGGCGATTGTCTGAACTCTTTCTCTCTCTCTCTCTCCTTCTCCCTCTCTCTCATCCCCCTCGCTGTCAGGTGGTGAGTGCTCTGGAGTCCAACCCCACAGCAAAGCGTACTCAGCTCCACCACAAGTTTGAGCAGGTCATTGCTCTGGTGGAGGACAACATCTATGAGTGCAGCAGTGAGGCCTGAGTCTCCCTCCACCCAGTTTCCACCCCAGCCCATTCCCCCTGGCTGCCTCCACCCTACCCGGGGTCCAAGGACCTAGGAAACCCCCTGTCTGTCTACCCTCCACATATCCCTTCTGTTTATAGAGCCCAAAGACAGAAAGGAACTTTTTGCTTTAAGAAAGATTTTGCTTTAAGACTGGAAGAGATGGCAGCTTGAGCTTTACTGTACCACCCCTAACCCAAGACTGCCTCAGAAACCTGATTGGGAGCACTGTACCATGGATTAAGAAATGTTCTAAGAAACGTACCTTGTACTGAGCAATTACTTCAGATACTGAGGAATTGATACCCACATCCCTTGTATCAAATATAGAATCTCTGGATCCTCTCTTTGACTGTGTTGACTCTTCTATTCACACATGGATATAACCCAATCTGGTTTCCTGCCTGTTCACACCTGGCTTAAATCTCACTCTGGTTTCACTCTGATTTGACCTGAAGCATATTGGAGTTAGAGGAGGCAGTTGGAGATGGGCCTTATTCTGGATGACGTCACCGCCTCTGGTACCTGGAGCCCCGGCAACCATCTTACGCACTGACCCCCTTTCTCTTGGGGGACGAGCCAATGATGCACTGTACTGTATGATAAATGTCCATAGCAATATTTATAGCTGAGTTCTAATGCTTTCTGAGTGGCCTGTTCAATGATATGTGAATGAGAAACTCCTATCTTCTTACAGCCTGCACTGTTCTCAGGTTTGATTGGTGGAAATGGCAAAGAACTCCACCGGTGCTTTGAACTAAAGGTCCCAATGTGCTTTGCAAATAGGTGATGGGTTATGGAGGAGTAGAGAGTAGAGAGTAGAATTTAAAAGATGTATTTAGGTGATGTTTCATGTGCCAGACCTGCTTGCAAAGAGACTGGACTCTATTTGAGCAGATGGAATGTAGTTCACTGGGAAGAATTACATTGGATGTGTTCATGTGAAGGCAGGTTGATCTGTTTTGTAAGTGACTGAGAACGGAGAAGGATTATGACCAAGAGGGAAATTTAGAGTAAAACTATGACCTTCAGTTAATCAAAGAGGAAGAACTGTCTGACATGACTGTACTTGTGATGCCAAAATGACTTAGGTCTATTGTCAGAGTTTGTGAAAATAAATGCTATTACAAAGCTATAATATAGTATAAAAATGTTATGACATTTCAGTTTCATAACAATATTTAAATTCCTGTTTTCATCAATAACTAGGGCTCGATTCAATCAAATCCGCTTTAGCCAACATCCGCATAGCGGTTGTTTTGGTGGTGTCGGAGGTGGAACTGAGTTAGAGCTTTCAAATCCACAAGTGGCTCCCGGCATTATACCTAAAGCGGACATTGCCATTGGCTGCACGGAGTCGCATTAACAAAAGTCCCATGCAGCCTTATTTACAAGTTTGAACACTGGAATGTGAGATGTAATCTACACCTTGATTAGGATAATAGAAATCCTCATTATTTTGTTTCATGATTAAAACATTTGAGCGTCATTATTTCTATATAGCCTACACTTTCTCATTCTGAACTTCTAACGCTGTGGCTTCGTGACAACGATCGCAACAGCAGCGCAGTTCCACCTCGACATTGCCAAAACATTTGCTATGTGGGTGTCTGCTATCGCTGGTTAAGGCTTGATCTGACTGAATCTAGGCCCTAGACCTATGCAAACTGAGAAAATGTCAGCAAAGCAACATTTGTAAACCACAGGGTAGCAATGTAGTGTTTGTTTTAGTGCTATCTTGATTGGTTGTGCATACTACCTAACAACCCAATGGGCATCTGGACTTTTTCAGAAAGGCTAGTTCTGTAAATGCTCCCATATGAAAGGAACAGCTATGAAAAAGAAAGGTCTCACATTTTTTATCGTCATTTTTATTCCCGGACATTTAACAACTTTATTTCCACATCACGTACAACATCCTAATCTTTACATTATTAACACTTGTCCTGTCTCCAGAGCTTTTAAACATATACGCATGCACACACTCATGCACACACGCACACTAACACACACTCTCAGGAGGTGGCTTCTCTCTGCAGAGGTTCTAAGCAGGTCCATTTGTTTACATTCAGGACCTGGTCCGAGCCAATAGTTAAGAGCTAACCACCTCAGCCTCATCATGGGAAAGACACAGAAACCAGGGAGAGCTCTCCTCAACACTTTATGGGTAGGCACACTCTAAACAAATGTAAAACGCATTTGACCCTAAGTATTCATTTAACAAATAGATACTTTAAAGCATATTTAAGGGGGATAAGCTGAACAATTACGTAACCAAAAGTTGACATGTTTCTTATATTGAGGATTTAGAAGGTTTCACTTCAACACTAAGTTATTGAACGTGTTTCAATGGGAGGGGATCCCATGGAACGTGTTTAGTTGGACAGCCACCAAAATGACACCCAGTTGTGCTGCTAAAAGTGCTTGAGGTAGAAGTCGAGATGCCCTAACCACAGACCTAGCATCAGACAATGCAACCCCTATTCCTAACCTTAACCTTTAAGGGGGAGTAAAAATAATCTGACCCTTTATCAGTGGTTTGAGGCAACTTCTACCAACTCCAGTAACCGATTGATGAAGCCAACTAAGCACTGTTCCTTGGTTTGTTATGCTTAGGTCACAATGAGGGATACAGATACAACAGGCACACCCCTGCAGTGTAGACAGAGGTAAATCGAGAGAACATTGGCCTATCGGAGGCTGCTGCTTGGCGTGGGTCCCCAGATGGGCTGGGCTAGGTAAGGAGTCAGGGTTTCCAGGTCGTAGGTCAGGCAGGGGCGACCTGGCTGGCAGAGATGGAGGAGGCCTGTGTTTTGGAGGAGGCGGTGGAGGTCTCCTCCTCACCGAATGGGTTCTTCCCGCAACACACCATGGTCAACATGCAGTTCCTGAACTAGAGAAGGGAGGAGAGGTCAAGGGGATGTTTTTCACACACATTTATCTATGTCCGTTTTATGTAGACACACATACACACTCGGGTTACCTGTCTGTTGAGTAGAATATAGATGACTGGGTTGTAGAGGGCAGCACTTTTGGCAAAGAAGGCTGGGATGGTCATCATGACAGGGCCGAAGTTGGTGCCCTGATTGGCAAAGATGTACCAGGCCACGGTGGCATAGGGCAACCAGCATACCAGATACGAGATGACCATGACGATCACCATACGGGTCACTTCCTTCTCTGCCCTCTGTGTGGTCTCCGACTCCTGCTGTAGGGCTGCCGCCTGAATGGACGGACACACACACAGAGTACTTTGATATGAGCCCTAACTGGAGATATAGTAGTCCCGTATGTTTACCGGTACGCAGTGATTGTGTGTGGTCGTACCGCGCGAACGGTGCAGAGCAGACGGCCGTAGCAGAAGCCAATGATGACCAGAGGGATGGAGAAGTGGAGGGTGAACATGTAGATGACAAAGGAGGTGTTGCCCAGTTCAGGCTTCGGGGTGTAGTAGTCAATCCCACAGGAACACTGCATGCCCTCTGGGATGTACCTACATACATACACCTCATGTTTTTGATTTAAAATGTAATATACAGAAGTATTGCCCCTGAGGTCTACCAGCCATCAGCCCAATCCCCTTTCTTAAGGTGACATTTAAGGTAAGACTAGTAGGAGATGCTATTTGGAGGGTATTTAGAGGGTGACCTACCTGGACCAGCCACACAATGGAGGTACAGCACAGGTGAGAGACATGATCCAGGTGAAGGCCACGCCCACAATGGCATGCCTGTCATTGAAGCGGAAGTTGGTCATCGGTTTGCACACCACGATATAACGCTCGATGGCCAATACAACGAGAGACCAAAGGGCGATCTCCCCTGAGAGACACACAGCAAGTCAGAGACACATACACAGTATTAATGCTCATGTGCAGAAACTATTCAGACAGTTAAGGAATATTGGACACAGGCAGAAAACTTAACAATGAACACAGCCTACTGTATCTAAAAGTACACAGGGAAGTTTGGACACACCTACTCATTCAAGGGTTTTTATTTATTTTTTAATATTTTTTACATTGTAGAATAATAGTGAAGACATCAAAACTATGAAATAACACTTGTGGAATGTAGTAACCAAAAAAGTGTTAAACAAATCAAAATAGATTTTATATTTGAGATTCTTCAAATAGCCACCCTTTGCCTTGATGACAGCTTTGCACACTCTTGGCATTCTCTCAACCAGCTTCACCTGGAATGCTTTTCCAACAGTCTTGAAGGAGTTCCCACATATGCTGAGCACTTGTTGGCTGCTTTTCCTTCACTCTGCCGTCCGACTCATCCCTAACCATCTCAATTGGGTTGAGGTCGGGAGATTGTGGAGGCCAGGTCATCTGATGCAGCACTCCATCACTCTCCTTCTTGGCCAAATAGCCCTTACACAGCCTGGAGGTGTTTTGGGTCATTGTCTTGTTGAAAAACAAATCATAGTCCCACTAAGCCCAAACCAGATGGGATGGCGTATCGCTGCAGAATGCTGTGGTAGGCATGCTGGTTAAGTGTGCCTTGAATTCTAAATAAATCACAGTGTCACCAGCAAAGCACCCCCACATCACAACACGTCCTCCTCCATGCTTTACAGTGGGAACTACACATGCGGAGATCGTCCGTTCACCCACACCGCGTCTCACAAAGACACAGCGGTTGGAACCAAAAATCTCAAATTTGGACTCCAGAACAAAGGACACATTTCCACCGGTCTAATGTTCATTGCTCGTGTTTCTTGGCCCAAGCAGGTCTCTTCTTCTTATTGGTGTCCTTTAGTAGCGGTTTCTTTGCAGCAATTCGACCATGAAGTCCTGATTCACACAATCCCCTCTGAACAGTTAATGTTGAGATGTGTCTGTTACTTGAACTCTGTGAAACATTTATTTGGGCTGCAATTTTTGAGGCTGGTATCGCTAATGAACTAATCCTCTGCAGCAGAGGTAACTATGGGTCTTCCATTCCTTTGGCGGTCTTCATGAGAACCAGTTTTATCCGACTGTTCCAAAACATTTGGAATGGCCTAGTCAAAGCCCAGACCTCAATTCAACTGAGAATCTGTGGTGTGACTTAAAGATTGCTGTACACCAGCGGAACCCATCCAACTTGAAGGAGCTGGAGCAGTTTTGCCTTGAAGAATGGGCAAAAATCCCAGTGGTTAGATGTGCCAAGCTTATAGAGACATACCCCAAGAGATTTGCAGCTGTAATTGCTGATGTCAAGCTAAGAGGCACTGAGTTTGAAGGTAGGCCTTGAAATACATCCACAGGTACACCTTAAACCACTTAAGTGTTGCTTTTGTAGTATGCTTAGGGTCATTGTCCTGCTGGAAGGTGAACCTCTGTCCCCAGTCTCAAATCTCTGGATGACGGAAACAGGTTTCCCGCAAGAATTTCCCTGTATTTAGCACCATCCATCATTCCTTCAATACTGACCAGTTTCCCAGTCCCTGCCGATGAAAAAATCCCCACAGAATGTACTGCCACCACCATGCTTCACTGTGGGGATGGTGTACTCGGGGTGATGAGAGGTGTTGGGTTTGCGCCAGACATAGCGTTTTCCTTGATGGCCAAAAAGCTCAATTTTAGTCTCATCTGACCAGAGTACCTTCTTCCATATGTTTGGGGAGTCTCCCACATGCCTTTTGGCGAACACCAAACGTGTTTGCTTATTTGTTCTCTAAGCAATGGCTTTTTTCTGGCCACTCTTCCGTAAAGCCCAGCTCTGTGGAGTGTACGGCTTAAAGTGGTCGTATGGACAGATAATCCAATCTCTGCTGTGGAACTTTGCAGCTCCTTCAGGGTTATGTTTGGTCTCTTTGTTGCCTCTGATTAATGCCCTCCTTGCCTGGTCTGTGAGTTTTGGTGGGCGGCCCTCTCTTGGCAGGTTTGTTATGGTGTCGTATTCTTTCCATTTTTTAATAATGGATTTAATGGTGCTCCGTGGGATGTTCAAAGTTTCGGATATTTGTTTATAACCCAACTCTGATCTGTACTTCTCCATAACTTTGTCCCTGACCTGTTTGGAGAGCTCCTTGGTCTTCATGGTGCCACTTTCTTGGTGGTGCCCCTTGCTTAGTGGTGTTGCAGACTCTGGGGCCTTTCAGAACAGGTGTATATATACTGAGATCATGTGACATTTAGATTGCACACAGGTGGACTTTATTTAACTAATTATGTGACTTCTAGGTATTTGGTTCACCAGATTTTATTTAGGGGCTTCATAGCAAAGGGGGTGAATACATATGCACGCAGCACTTTTCCGTTATTTATTTTTTTGAATTTTTTGAAACAAGTACTTTTTTTCATTTCACTTCACCAATTTGGACTATTTTGTGTATGTCCATTACATGAAATCCAAATAAAAATCAATTTGAATTCCAGGTTGTAATGCAACAAAATAGGAAAAGCGCCAAGGAGGATGAATACTTTTGCAAGGCACTGTACCTTCAAACTCAGTGCCTCTTTTCTTGACATCATGGGAAAATCAAAAGAAATCAGCCAAGACTTGTAGACCTCCACAAGTCTGGTTCATCCTTGGGAACAATTTCCAAATGCCTGAAGGTACCACGTTCATCTGTGCAAACAATAGCACGCAAGTATAAACACCATGGGACTACGCAGCCGTCATACCGCTCAGGAAGGAGACGCATTCTGTCTCCTAGAGATGAACGTACTTTGGTGCAAATCAATCCCAGAACAACAGCAAAGGACCTTGTGAAGATGCTGGAGGAAACAGGTACAAAATCTATATCAACAGTAAAACGAGTCCTATATCGACATAACCTGAAAGGCCGCTCAGCAAGGAAGAAACCACTGCTCCAAAACCGCCATAAAAAAGCCAGATTACGGTTTGCAACTGCACATGGGGACAAAGATCGTACTTTTTGGAGAAATGTCCTCTGGTCTGATGAAACAAAAATAGAACTGTTTGGCCATAATGACCCTCGTTATGTTTGGAGGAAAAAGGGGATGCCTTGCAAGCCGAAGAACACCATCCCAACCGTGAAGCATGGGGGTGGCAGCATCATGCTGTGGGGGTGCTTTGCTGCAGGAGGGACTGGTGCACTTCACAAAATAGATGACATCATGAGGAAGGAAAATTATGTGGATATATTGAAGCAACATTTCAAGACATCAGTCAGGAAGTTAAAGCTTGGTCACAAATGGGTCTTCCAAATGGACAATAACCCCAAGCATACTTCCAAAGTTGTGGAAAAATTGCTTAAGGACAACAAAGTCAAGGTATTGGAGTGGCCATCACAAAGCCCTGACCTCAATCCTATAGAACATTTGTGGGCAGAACTGAAAATGTGTGTGCGAGCAAGGAGGCCTACAAACCTGACTCAGTTACACCAGCTCTGTCAGGAGGAATGGGCCAAAATGCACCCAACTTATTGTGGGTAGCTTGTGGAAGGCTACCCGAAACGTTTGACCCAAGTTAAACAATTTAAAAGCAATGCTACCAAATACTAATTGAGTGAATGTAAACTTCTGACCCACTGGGAATGTGATGAAACAAATAATAGCTGAAATAAATCATTCTCTCTACTATTATTCTGACATTTCACATTCTTAAAATAAAGTGGTGATCCTAACTGACCTAAGACAGGGAATTTGTACTAGGATTAAATGTCAGGAATTGTGAAAAACTGAGTTTAAATGTATTTGGCTAAGGTGTATGTAAACTTCCGTCTTCAACTGTATATATATAAAAAAGGTCTATACATCTGCAGTTCTTAAATACCTCTCCCCACCCCCCCCAGTCACAAAACACAGGTGTGTCAAAGATGTGCACATGTACATATCATAGGGTGGCAGGTAGCCTAGTGGTTAAGAGCATTGGGCCAGTAACTGAAAGGTTGCTGGTTTGAATCCCCAAGCTGACTATGTAAAACACACAGATACACACTTTCGATGTGCCTTGAGCAAAGCACTTAACCTTAGTCGCTCTGGATAAGAGTGTCTGCTAAATGACTCAAATGTTACATCTCATAAGGTGCTGGGCTTTATTCAAGTCTTCTTTACAATGGAGGGTGCTATTCAATTATTCTAAAAACATGTTCTTGATATGGGAAAAAATGTGTCTCACCTTACTATAACGTCATTGAGATTAAGGTTGCACCTGGAGAAAGTCGGGCACTCCTTTAGGTAAAAGTTTCTCTTAACCACAGATCTAATATCAAATTCCCCATAGCCTAACCATAACCATTATGTGAACAGAAATCTCTTACCCTGTAGCTTGCGTCCACTTTGTCTTACATCCCAACTTCTACCTACACCCTAGGGCTCCACCATCACCATGACTTACCTCCCATAGTGGCGAAGAATCCTTCAACATTGCAGCCGGTGATCCCCAGGAAGAAGTATCCCTGTAGGGCTGTGGCGAGGGTCACAGTGAAGCCCCCCACCACCATGAAGAGGTCAGCCACAGCCAGATTCAACAGGATGTAGTTCAGGGGGGTCCGTAGCTTCTTGTGCTGCACCGTGACGTAGAGCGTAAGAAAATTGACGGGGAAGGCTGTGATGATGAGAAAGATCATGTAAGCAGCGAGGAGCGAATACTTCCAGGGTGCAGCTAGGTAGTACTGAGGGTACTCAAAGGGGCTCCGCACCACCCCTGTCTTGTTAGACATGGGCACGTAGAAGTTTGGGCCCTCTGTGCCGTTCATGGCGGTGGCTGTTGGGGGGTGTGTGTGTTTCTGTGTGTCTATGTATCTCTACAGGAGTTTGTGTCTTTCTCTATCCTCTCTGGTATTTTGAGAGAGGAAAGAGAAAGCACTATCCCTTCTACGAGAGGAGCTATTTCTAGCTGGAGGGCTGGAAGGATAGATAGATAGATGGAGGAAATAGATCCTGGCGATGAGATGTGGTGTGCTCTGCCCCCCGAGGCGGGCGCAGCCCCTTTTAAGAGCTTCTCTATTAGGATTAGGGATGTGCATGGAACTCAGCATGGTGTCATCATAGACAGATTTAGGACACACACACAGTAATTCATGAGAAAAACGTCTAGGACATATGCTGTATACTCAAGGGTTATCCTCTGATGATTTCATCATCACAAGTTTGCTAAGTAGAGAGTGTTACAGGAGGCTGACAAAGACCAATGCAACTTATAGACTTCTTCTCAAATAGCACATTTGACTCTGGCTAAAAGTAGTGCACTAGGAAATAGGGTGTCATGAGAGATTTCCATCATCCTAGATGTCAAGAGGCTACTGTACCAGTCTGCTTATGCAGCCCGACGTGTCTAACTTTGTTTTGTATATGTTGTTCCAGACAGAAGAGTTATTTAATGGACTGTCTACATTCCCTGTTGGTGTAAGTCTGTGTGATAGGCTCTGTGTAATCTGATCCTGGTAATCCGATTGGGTTGATCGGCTGAAGACGCACTTTTGTTGCGGACTATAATGATCATCATGACCTCGTCACTCAAATAACGTACATGAGGGGTGTGAGCATATGGGCGGATAATTGCTCAGAAGATCAAGATGAAACTGACTCCAACTCCTTTTTCACGCACTCTACAAGCCATGTGACTGATTCCAGATCAGCATATAATCTAACATCAATATTTAGTGGCTGGATTATGACCAAGTAGAAATGTTGATAAAATATATGAATAAACTGGGAGATGGATTAAGTGATTCTAAACCAGTTTGGGGAGCTCAGTTGGGTTCATCGATGGGCCGTCGGCAGTAGAGACAGCAGTTGTGCTGAAGCACCAGCAGCTCATAGTCCTCACTGCGGAACATCTAGAGGGAACACACCAGAGAAGACAGGAAGCATGGGTCAGAGAACACAGCACTGGGCAGAGCAGGTATTCCCATAGATAGTCTCTCTAAGGAAGGGCGAGGAGGCCAGCAACACAACATCTAGCACTGCCACTAGCAACATTTTCTCTGAAGCCATTTTGTTTATAATTGGGTATCTGGAAGCAGGAGGGGCACATAGTGATGCTGACAGCAGGCAGTAAGGAGCAGTGGAACTCTCACTGAAGGGGTTTAGGCCAGGGCTTGATCAGGACATCCCTGCTGCTCATAGACCTCAGCATAGAGCGACTCACCACCACCGGGACAAAGTCAGACCCCCCCCCCCAGCTGTAAAGGGAAAACACACAGATATACACATACTGAACCTTTTCATTCATACTCTCCTGTTAGTTTCCTCTCCTCCCTCCCTCTCCTCCACCTTTCTAACCCCCCTCTAACTCCTTACCCCTTCGCTCTGTCCCTCCCTCCTACACTCTCCTTACATCCCATATCCTTCCCTCTTTCTGTCCCTCCCTCCCTCCCTCCTCACCTCAAAGGTGAGTTTGGCCATGAAGGTGTCCTCCTTTGTGTCTTCCGTGCCATCATCCAGCTTCAGGGACTGGGATTCTGACGCTGTTAAGGATTCCCTCAAAATACTTCTGCTCCCCGCTTTCTTACACACATTCAAGCCATATGCCATTAACAGACCCATGCCACCACTTTGAGCATTTAATGCCAGAGGAAAAAACAAGACACACTAAAATGCACAACATTTCGCCCTCAGATCTCAGCCGGTGAGAGTGATGGAGAGAACAGGCTACTAAAGGTCAGTCAGTGAGTTAGTCAGCATGCGGCTTCTAGGTAAAGCTGTGGCCTCTGTGCCCTTGGGGCAGGCAGGTTAATCCCAGACAGAGAGGTCTCTGAGGTGTTAGTGTCATTAAACTGAGAGAGAAGAGCCTCTCTAACCCTATTAACTCTCACTGCTAAGATGACTTAGGCCTGGCAGCTTATGCTGCTTGGCAGAAACCGAATCAGTGCCAAGAAATAGGATTACTACCTTCTCAGAACACACCTCAGCACTGACACGGACACATACTGTATGTAATGTGCGTATGTATGGAAACGTGTACGAGCACAAAACCTTAACATACAGATTATTCCCATTAGCTAAAACTGGTCGTGAGAAATGTGTTGATTTTAGTGGTGTACACTGCATAAGGTAAAGGATACCCTCAATGCGAGGGACCTCCAGGTCAATGACAGACACAGCCTCCTCATCACCAATACCCTCGTCCAGGTAGAACTGCACCAGAGCTAGGACCTTTACAGTACAGCACAGTGACACATTAATAACACACCTTGGAACCAAACATCCATTTACAAAGAGACAGGTGTCAACCTACCGTATGAAGATGCTGTGTAGATGAAGGGCTGTTTGCAGTTGATACACACACTGCCCTGGCTGTTCAGCGAGGGGTTGTTGGTTGAGCAGCGGTAATACATGGGGATCAGGTCCTGGGTTATACACATACACACCTTAGTGAATATACACAAACGTATAAGATACCCACTCCACTAGAACTTCTACTCCACTAGAAAGTATTCACACCCCTTTACTTTTTCCACATTTTGTCGTGTTACAGCCTGAATCTAAAATGGATTAAATTGAGATTTTCTTCTCACTGGCTTACACACAATACCCCATAATGTCAAATTGGAATTCTGTTTTTCAAAATTAATAAAACCTTTAAAGCTGAAATGTTTTGAGTAAATAAGTATTTAACCCCTTTGTTATGGAAAGCCTAAGTACAGGAGTAAAAATGTGCTTAACAAGTTAAATAATAAGTTGCATGGATTCACTCTGTGTGCAATAATAGTGTTTAACATGATTGTTGAATGACTACCTGATCTCTGTACCCCACGCAGACAATTACCTGTAAGGTCTATAGGTTAATTTGCATAATTTAGTGGAATTAAATTGGCCTGTGTGTATTTCATTTATGTATTTTATTTAGCCAACAAAACTATCACATGCACACAGCTTATTTTGAGCGTGATTTCTCCAGTAGCGCCTCAGTTGGTTGCTGCTGGAGTAAAACATGTGCTTTTATAAGTCCATTCATTGCGCAACAATTATAAATGTAATTGCGTGTTAAAAATGGTTTTGTTGCACGATTAAAAATACCTACTATTTTTTTTTCTCAACTGGTAATTGAAGCGCGTCTCCCATTCACCATTCAAGCACAGGCAACAGGATATCAGCGCTTCACCCACTACTTTACAATGTGAGCTGAAGGCAGTATGCATTTTAAAAACATACTTAATTGTTTGAAACTTGAACTTTTATTTCATATTATGAGACATGTCTTACCTTGCTTCAAAGTAGCCTATAGGCAAAATCTGACCATGGAAATGTGGAGGCAATTATTTTATTAAGAATTCATAGGCGGTGCGTTAGTTTCAAGCTTGGGGAAGTTTACAATTTATCCTACCATTTCTACCGTTCTGCGTGCAAGTTATGATTTTCATATGCGCATTTTCTTGGAACAGTTTCATTTCAATTATAACGTTTTAGTTTCTCAAAATCATTGTCACGTGGTTAATCATAAAAAGTTCAAAGTCAACTAAAGCGAGATCACCAGCCTCTGCCATATTGGCACACTGATACACCGTGACCCATTGGCAGCTAAAGAAATGAGCGCATGGAACTCATAGCCTATAGGCCAATGCAGCAGTAAGTCTATAACTTCCATCTTTCACACCGAGGATTGGTGATTATCGAGGGGGAGATTGTTGGAAAGATTTTTCAAATAGCTTACTGTGAGGAACTATAGTTTTAATATATTATCATTCGGAATGGATGTAAAAAAAAACAACAACACTTTCCTACATTTCCGCACAGCAGGCCAGGTACTTCTATAAGTGCTCAGGTTCGCACAACCCCTCAACATTATCAGGACAGAGAAACCAGACATGCCCATTGCTCATAGGGCGGCAGGTAGCCTAGCGGGTAAGATCGTTGAGCCAGTAACTGAAAGGTTGTTGAGCAACTGAAAGGTTGTTGAGCGAATCCCTGAGCAGACTAGGTGAAAAATCTGTCGATGTGCTCTTGAGCAAGGCACTGAATGTCTAATTACTCTTGTAAGTCGCTCTGGATAAAAGCGTCTGCAAAATGACTAAAATGCTCACATGGAGCACTCCAAACAAAAGACAATGAAAACATTTACAAATAAATGGTTATGAAATAAACCAAAACTTGTTTCTCAAAAGTGCAGCAGGTTGTGAACTCTGCAAACAACGCTTTCACTCTGAGAATGAGAATGGTTAATGACTGCAACTAATACATGCATTAACAGAAATGTATGTAACCAAATGACGGGGATTAACAGTACATTTACTACTGGTGACATATGTAATGGGGATTTTTTGTTTTTACATCAAAGGGCAAACAATTCGCACAATGAATGCGGGAGACAGCTGAGCCATTCTGGAGAGAGACTCGCATATATATTCTCCACACAGCCCTCCCCTTCTTGTCGCAACATTTTAAATTATACTTAAGAAACATCATCATCATATTTTCTATGCTTTTCACTGACAGCCACAATTCAATAACCAGCTAGGCCTATTGCCACACACGCTGCCCAAATTGCGGACTTCCCAAATAGGTATACGAGCTTGTGATTTGAAACAATCCACAGCTAGTTTTTTAAAGAAGCTAATGATCTTCGATTCCTCTGTGGCTAAGTCATGCTTTCTGGTGAAGTATTTCTGTATAGACAGGAGTAATTATATAATTTTGGCAAATGTACATTTACACTGAAAAAATATATAAACGCAACATGTAAAGTGTTGGTCCCATGTTTCATGAGCTGAAATAAAAGATCCCCAAAATGTTCCATACGCACAAAAAGCTTATTTTTCTCAAATTGTGTGCGCAAATTTGTTTACATCCCTATTAGTGAGCATTTCTCCTTTGCCAAGATAATCCATCCACCTGGCAGGTGTGGCATATCAAGACGCTGATTAAACAGCATGAAAATTACACAGGCACACCTTGTGCTGGGGACAATAAAAGGCCACTCTAAAATGTGCAGTTTTGTCACACAACACAATGCCACAGATGTCTCAAGTTTTGAGGGAGCGTGCAATTGGCATGCTGAATGCAGGAATGTCCACCAGAGCTGTTGCCAGAGAATTGAATGTTAATTTCTCTACCATAAGCCACCTCCAACGTTGTTTATGAGAATTTGTCAGTACCTCCAAACGGCCTCACAACCGCAGACCACATGTATGGCGTCGTGTGGGTGAGCGGTTTGCTGATGTCAACCTTGTGAACAGAGTGGCCCATGGTGGTGGTGGGGTTATGGTAGGGGCAGGCATAAGCTAAGGACAATAAACACAACTGCATTTCATCGATGGCAATTTGAATGCACAGAGATACCGTGGCGAGATCCTGAGGCCCATTGTCGTGCCATTCATCCGCCGCCATCCCCTCGTGTTTCAGCGTGATAATGCACAGCCCCATGTCGCAAGGATCTGTACACAATTCCTGGAAGCTGAAAATGTAACTCAGTAAAATCTTGGAAATTGTTGCATGTTGCATTTATATTTTTGTTCAGTATACTTCCCTTTTGGACCCACCGCTTTGCCATTTCTCTCCTGTTCTATTGGTTTTCATATCGACTTTATCTAATTGTCCAGAAGCGAAAGGCACAATCCTAGTCATACAGTATCTGCAACCCATCCTAGTTGTTGCATCTTTAGATCCCCCCTCTCTCTAAGTTTCTAACAGAGATTTTAATCTCTGTCACATTTGGAACCGCTATATTTGCGCAGAAGGGTGTTTTCCCGCGAATTGCATTTTGGCAAAATAAATTACAATAATGTTTTATTGGCTGCTTCATTACATGAGTTGCATGTTCTGTTAAGATGCATTACCATAACCTAAATGTGATTTCTATCAATCTGAGCACCGTGGGTGGATGCCCTAATGAGTTATGCACCCCAATGCATATGGGTCCGGTAAATTTCTCAAATGGCCGGTAAATTAAAATCTTCCTGGTCACGTTGTCCGGCGCCACATTTTCCTAACAGAAACCCTGGTACGCACGCATGCAAAAACACACACACCTGGTTTTCGTGGTATGGTTTGGAGAAGACGGTAAGGCTGCCCAGATTCATGGTCTCCTAGAAGCGAGAGGGAACGTGGAGGTCCTGGAGCTTCTCATAGGCATGTCTGACCAGCTCAAATGCTCCCAGGGTTGTGCTTAGCCAACGCATACAGAGTGTCACTGAGACCCACCATCAAGGACAACAAGGTGCTACAGGTAGAAATTGCCCTTAGCCACAGATCTGGGGTCAGCTTACCCTCTTCAAATTATATCCTAACTATTAGTCTAGGAAATGCCAAACTGAACTTAGATCAGTGCCTACTGGAAACTTCTTCCAACTCCAGAACAGGAACTGTACATCGGAGACAGAAATGGGCACACGATTGATAGTACATACACTCATCAGAGCTGTGTATGTATGCTAAACATAGCCATTGTTGCCAGCAACTACAAGTCCCAGTCAATACTACGTTTGGCTCTGTGATGGATGCACTGATCCTCTCTAAAATAACTACCTTGGCCTTTTGTTTAAAAGTGGTGTAAGTAGAGGAATGTATACTTGTGTGTAAGCGTTTGTGTATTCATCCTTGTGTGTGTGTGTGTGTTTGAGCAGAGGAAATTGCTGCCTGTTTGTATTTGTATGGATGAAGATTGTTGTGCGCTGAGGGGCCTCTGAGAAAGGCAACACTAGGTCATTGACTTGCAGCTGCAGAAGCCCTATAACTGACATTAATTTAGCTCCAACAGCTCTCATCTCCTCTCCTCTGTCCCAGCCTCAATATTGGTATTGTTAATAAACGTATCTCCTCCTGTTGTGTGTTGTTTAGCAGTGCTTTCCATGACATTGTGCTGTGTTATTCCGTCCAGAACCCGCTAAGCTCATAAATCCCAGTTCAAAGTTTTCCAAGCGGCACCATGTTGCCAGAGAGGAGGAGATGATTCCAGCTGCAGAGACCCATTTCCTGGATTTCCTTCCCTGTGCTTCTACCCCTTTCTAACAGTAAGTGTGTGTGTGTGTGTGTGTGTGTGTGTGTGTGTGTGTGTGTGTGTGTGTGTGTGTGTGTGTGTGTGGTAATCACTGGGTTTGTTTTGGTTAGTGAGGATGTGCCTCTTCCTGGCGTCTTCTCTTCCTACCCATCTCCCTTCTATTTCACTTGGCTGCACTGGGCTGTTTCCTCTACTCTGTTTGCTCACTGGCACCAACACTAGCTCTCTTTTTTCGACTATTTTCTACTTTACCTTCTCCCTCTCTCAGCCTATAAAGTGTATCAACTAAAATAAAACATTTAAAGGTGACATTGGACACATGGATTTGGCTGCTTTAGACCGTTGCAACATAATAGAAGTAGTCGCCACATTGGAAGGATACACTTTGGAGATGCCCAGTGGTACGTCCTTGGTGAGGTACCTGGAAATGTTAAAGAGCGTCTCAGGCATATGGGAGCTGAAGGGCTCATCCTGGAGAGACCGAAAGAGAGAGAGGAGGGAAATAGAGGGAGGGAAAGGTAGCAGGAACCTCGACAAAACGGAGCTACTCTTCCTCCCGGGGAAGGCCAGCCTGCTCAAAGACCTCTCCATCATGATTGACAACTACAGTGTCTCCCTCTCAGAGTGCAAAGAACCTTGTAGAGCATGACCTGCAGGTCATGCTCTACAACATCCGTAGAGTACGACCCTAACTCACACAGGAAGCGGCACAGGTCCTAATCCAGCCACTTGTCATCTCCCATCTGGACTACTGCAACTCGCCCCATCAAGCCCCTTCAACTTATCCAGAACACTGCAGCCCCCCTGGTTTTCAACCTTCCCAAGTTCTCCCATGTCACCCCGCTCCTCCGAACACTCCACTGGCTTCCAGTCGAAGCTCGCATCCACTACAAGACCATGATGCTTGCCTACAAAGCAGCAAGAGGAACTACCTTCAGGCTATGCTCAAACCCTACACCCCAACCCGAGCACTCCGTTCTGCCACCTCTGGTCTCTTGGCCCTCCCACCCATACAGGAGGGCAGATCCCGCTCAGCCTAGTCCAAACTCTTCTCTGTCCTGGCACCCCAATGGTGGAACCAGCTTCCCCCTGAAGCTAGGACAGCAGAGTCCCTGGCCATCTTCCGAAAGCACCTGAAACCCTACCTCTTCAAAGAGCATCTAAAAAAAAATCCCCACCCTTTCTAGCACTGACTTTGCTGATAGCTACTTTATTGAGGAAAAGTGTACTTACTATGCATTTGATATGTGGTTATCCCACCTAGCTTTCTTAAGATGAATGCACTAACTGTAAGTTGCTATGGATAAAATGACTAAAATGTAAGGATGGGCGGCGGGGAAAGAGGACAGAGAGAGACAGAGAGAGAGAAACAGAAGGCACACAACATCCATCAGACACACACATCTTTGGGCACCTCTGTAAGGACACAGAGGCACAATGACTCTGTCTCTGTCCCTCCCCCTCTCTTCCTCCCTCTTCCTCTCTCTTAAACACTAGTCTGAAGATAAAGAATAGCCTGAGCTGCGCCACATCCTCCCTTCACAGCACAGAGCACTTCGCTCACATGGGCTAGGTTAAGAGGCAGGGAGTGTTCGTTAGCGTATAGCGCCAGCTAGCTCCCACAGTGATTGATGGCTCAGCATAGCCCTGTGCCTGGGAGAGTTAAAGTGAGATATATAAGGTTCCTGCTCTGGACTCAATCACAGGGGTTCCTCACTTCAGGGGTGTGACCAGGGTAGAGTACTATAAAAACAAACCGAGAGAGAGCACACTGACATAGGCCAGGGGTAGTGCAGCCACTGCATACCAACCTATGAAAATGTATGCACTCACTAACTGTAAGTCGCACTTTATAAGAGCGTCTGCTAAATGACTAAAATGTAAATGTAAAGAGACAGGGTGCTTATAACCAGACATACACTACATTACCAAAAGTATGTGGACACCTGCACGTCGAACATCTCCAAAATCATGGGCATTAATATGGAGTTGGTCCCTCCTTTGCTGCTACAACAGCCTCCACTCTTCTGGGAAGGCTTTCCTTTAGATGTTGGAACATTGCTGCGGCGACTTGCTTCCATTCAGCCACGAGCATTAGTGAAGTTGGGCACTGATGTTGGGTGATTAGGCCTGGCTTGCAGTCGGTTTCCAATTAATCCCAAAGATGTTCGATGGGGTTGAGGTCAGGGCTCTGTGCAGGCCAGTCAAGTTCTTCCACAACAATCTCGACAAACCATTTATGTGTGGACCTCGCTTTGTGCATGGGGGCATTGTCATGCTGAAACAGGAAAGGGCCTTCCCCAAACTGTTGCCACAAAGTTGGAAGCACAGAATCGGCTAAAATGTCATTGTATGCTGTAGTGTTGAGATTTCCCTTCACTGGAACTAAGTGGCCTAGCCCGAACCATGAAAAACAGCCCCAGACCATTATTCCTTCTCCACCAAACTCCACTATCATTTGCACATTTGGCACTATGCATTCGGGCAGGTAGCGTTCTCCTGGCATCCGCCAAACCCAGATTCATCCGTCAGACTGTCAGATGGTGAAGCGTGATTCATCATTCCAGAGAACGCGTTTCCACTGCTCCAGAGTCCAATGGCGGTGAGCTTTACACCACTCTAGCCGACGCTTGGCATTGCGCATGGTGATCTTAGGCTTGTGTGCGGCTGCTTGGCCATGGAAACCCATTTCATGAAGCTCCCGATGAACAGTTCTTGTGCTGGCGTTGCTTCCAGAGGCAGTTTGGAACTCCGTAGTGAGTGTTGCAGTTGCGGACAGGCGATTTTTACGCGCTTCAGCACTCAGCGGTCCCGTTCTGTGAGCTTCTGTGGCTTACCACTTCGCGGCTGAGCCATTGTTGCTCCTAGACGTTTCCACTTCACAATAACAGAACGTAAAGTTGACCGGGGCAGCTCTAGCAGGGCAAAAATTTGACGATCTGACTTGTTGGAAAGGTGGCATCCTATGACGGTGCCACGTTGAAAGTCACTGAGCTCTTCAGTAAGGCCATTCTACTGCCAATGTTTGTCTATGGAGATTGCATGGCTGTGTGCTTAATTTTATACACCTGTCAGCCGAAACCACTAATTTGAAGGGGTGTCCCACGTACTTTTGTATATATAGTGTACCTTGTTTATAACCAGGCACTGCCGAGGGCCTCTAGGGGGGCTGCTGGTGGGAGGGGTTATCATGAGTAATTATAATTTAATGAACTGTTTACTATAGAAGGTGCGAGGGGTTATCATGATTAATGATCAATTAATTAACTGGTTACTATAGAAACAGAGGTCATAGTGGGTTCAGAGAGTTGACACCGTGGTTGACATGAGTTGGGTTGTAGCTATGGTCATTGGGGCTGTTGTCGACAGAATCTCCAGGAATGTTCTCTCATTGATAGCTTTGCTCTGTATATCTAACCTATTTATGCTTTGTAGCAGTATCTTGCTGAATTGGAACGGATTCCAAAAGCATTTCAACTAAGGGACTGAAGGGAATTTAGTCTCCACAGTTTCTGTCTGGCCTTACTGTAGGCTACCATTCTCAACCCTGCCTATTCTTAACTTTTCTTAACTCAACCTAAACGTACTCTTAACTATGCTTCCTGGGCTCTACTCTGTCCCTATCTTCAGGCATGGTGAGCATCTTATTGTGTAACGCTGTATAGAGTGGTAAACATGGTAGAGCTTAGCCAGGTGCTGGAAACGCTTGAACTTCTTCAGCATCTACTCCTTCCTCTCCTAACCCTTCCCCCCCCCCTCCCTTTTTAAATGTCATTTTAAGAAATGTGAAGACTGCAAGGGTTGTGTAGACTCATTAAACCTGTTCACCACCACGGCATTGTGGGTAAGCTGCTCCAACACAGCTGCTTCACAGCATCGCTCTGTCGGCCCGCCTTGTGGAACCCTGTGGGGGGAAGAGAGAAGGAAGTGAAGAGACTTAATTGTAGCGATGGAGGAGGAAGAGCGAGCTTGAGTGGCGCTTAAAGGTAGACTTATGACGTAAATGCAGAAAGTAAACAGCATAGTGGGTCAATTTCCGCAAACAACTAAGAGCGTTGAAGCGCAGGGCTCAACTTCTCCGTTGTTTTGGTCCCCTGGCTACTACACTGTCCACAGCGTGAAGCGAACCTGTGCACATGCACAGATACTGTGTGACTGTGAGAGTGAAGTGTTGCATCTCGCTCATCTCAATATCTCCAGTGCTGCTCGTGGCGACGTCATTTCGCTGAGTTCAGGACACGAAGCGGCGGCAGTTGCCCATTTACGATGGAGCTAGTCAGGGGGCGGAATTCTATCCAGGCGGAGTGATTGGTGGTGCTCGTGCACGTGAAAGCAGAGGTGGAGAAAATATGAATCTGGTCTATTTTGACGAACTCCGCTCCGCCCCAATTCTTCCTGTCTGGACAGCCCTTAACACTGCTTCTATTGCATCAACAGAGATATGCTTTGACATGTTGTTAACGTCTGGGTGAAGTGGTGAAACGAAATCAGGCGCAGGACACAGAACTGAGAAATGAATGGATTTACTAAACAAAAGGAAACCATAACAAACCCTCCACGCAGGGAAGAGCAGAACAACAGCTCACCAAACGACGTAAAACAACGGACAATCACGCACAAACTCAGGAGGGAAAACAGAGGTAATTATAGGGAAACAAATAAGCATAATGAGTAACAGGTGTGAATAATAAAGACAAGACTAGTGTAACACAGAAACATCGATCGGTGGCAGCTAGTACTCCGGTGACGACGAACGCCGAAGCCTGCCCGAGCAAGGAGGAGGGGCAGCCTTGGCTGTATTCGTGACACATGTCTAAGAAATCTACTTGAGATTCAACCTTATAGGAGCCAACCCCTTTCCCATTACTCTGTCTCATTCTCAGGCTGCCAGAGTTTAACAGCATCACACACACACACTCTCTCTCGCTACACGCCAGGGGCAATTTGTACTTAACGTATACGAGACAATATTTTCACTAACTACAAACAGACGTCTTCTTAAACGAACCCACTCCCAAATGTCAAACAGCATGGCACTTAGCAAGCAGAGTGCCAGTAAACATATGTCAAATTCTTCATGTTGCTATCTGTGGCTAATTAAAGACAGCTTCAGGGAGACATTCCCTCGGGTGACCCTGTCTGTCCTGCTAGATGTACAGGAGGTCAGGACTTATTAGTGGCTAATATTTACCAGTGCAGCCAGGCGGATAAAACCACAGTCAGCTGCTGCTGCTTAGTGTAAGGACAGGAACACTATACAGACACACACACACACACACACACACACACACACACACAAACCACATACACTCCCCCAAACACACTACGCTAACAATGATTAACATGGGCTGTGGTCTGGGCCCACATAACTCTGTGATGTAGCTCAAGCCCAGTTACGGTTACACCACACGTTTGAGTTTGTGAGGAGTTACAGTCGCCAGTCAGCCTTGCAAGGTGAGGAACTACCAGGCTTCGAGACTACAGGGGCCTAAAGTCTATTACAATCACTGTGGTGGTAACGCAATACACCATTACTAAAACACAATACAGGCAGCACAACACCAGATTACTGCCAGACTGAAACACAACCAGGCCTGTTCAACTATATACTCCACAGCAAGACACAGAGAAGGATATTGTGCAAGATCGATTGGATACAGTACAGTACATAAATATGCATGCAGGGATCCTAATTAGAAATTGATGTGGTGATTATAGTTCTTACAGCTCATCATTAGGAATTCTTGTTGTAGTGCTGATTGGAATCATGCATGGCATGTAATACTGTTAGCAGTCAGGACTTGCTCTGTCTAGCAGTGGATCATGTTTTACAGTGAACAGAGAGAGCAGTGCAGAGGAAGTAGTAAAAACAACTTGGTTATATCAACACAGGCCAAACTTTATATGGTTTCCACATGTACCCCATGTTGGGAACTGACATTGCCTTCTAGCCATCTGTGGTATTCTGTGATACGTTGATATAGTTCTGATTCCAGAATGATTCCAGATATGTCTGCTCAATGTTAGGTGCACAAAATGAGATTTTTCAAAAAAACTAGTGCAAAGAAGTTTCAACTGACATGGTCTTGGCAAAGTTACTATAACATTTGGGAACATCAAACATTGAGCTCCTGTAACATATAACTTTCTGTTCCGTCTTCAAAAAGGTTGTTCTCAGCCAGCCACTGAGCGTAGGGCACAAAGACGTCATCTTTAAACTGGGCATGTTTCTTCAACAGAGAGAAAGCCTAGGAGAGAGGGGAAGAAGGGTTCGATCACAGATAATCTTCAAAAAGTACATAGATCCACCCCCCCCGCCCCCTCTCCTTGTGACCAGAGAAAAACCCTCCCCATACCACCCCTTCCCTGTGGGCCTGAAAGCAAATAAAGTAAATAATATGAAAATAGGTATATATATATATATTTTTTTTTTCAACCCCCTTGGCATTTTTCCTATTTTGTTGCCTTACAACCTGGAATTAAAGTGGATTTTTGGGGGGTTTGTATCATTTGATTTACACAATATGCCTACCACTTTGAAGATGCAAAATATTTTTTGGGGTGAAACAAGCAAGAAATAAGACAAAAAAACTAAACTTGAGCGTGCGTAGCTATTCTCCCCCCCCCAAAGTCAATACTTTGTAGAGCCATCTTTTGCAGCAATTACAGCTGCAAGTCTCTTGGGGTATGTCTCTATAAGCTTGGCACATCTAGCCACTGGGATTTTTGCCATTCTTCAAGGCAAAACTGCTCCAGCTCCTTCAAGTTGGATGGGTTCCGCTGGTGTACAGCGATCTTTAAGTCATACCACAGATTCTCAATTGGATGGAGGTCTGGGCTTTGACTAGGCCATTCCAAGACATTTCTATGTTTCCTCTTAAACCACTCGAGTGTTGCTTTAGCAGCATGCTTAGGGTCATTGTCCTGCTGGAAGGTGAACCTCCGTGTGCAAAGCTGTCATCAAGGCTAAGGGTGGCTATTTGAAGAATCTCAAATATAAAATATATTTTGATTTGTTTAACATTTTTTTGGTTACTACATGATTCCATATGTGTTATTTCATAGTTTTGATGTCTTCACTATTATTCTACAATGTAGAAAATAGTAAAAATAAAGAAAAACCCTTGAATGAGTAGGTGTTCTAAAACTTTTGACCAGTAGTGTATGTATGTGTTGGGCTTTATACACTAAACAAAAATATAAACGCAACATGTAAAGGTTTTTTCGCTCAAATTTTGGCAACAAATTTGTTTACGTCCCTGTTAGAGAGCATTTCTCCTTTGCCAAGATAATCCATCCACCTGACAAGTCTATCATATCAAGAAGCTGATTAAACAGCATGATCATTACACAGGTGCACCTTGTGATGGGGCCAATAAAAGGCCACTCTAAAATGTGCAGTTTTGTCACACAACACAATGCCACAGATGTTTCAAGTTGAGGGAGTGTGCAATTGGCATGCTGATTATAGGAATGTCCACCAGAGCTGTTGCCAGAGAATTTAATGGTAATTTCTATATCCTAAGCCGCCTCCAATGTTGTTTTAGAGAATTTGGCAGTACGTCAAACCGGCCTCACAACCGCAGACCACGTGTATAGCGTCGTATGGGCGAGCGGTTTGCTGATGTCAACGTTATGAACAGAGTGCCCCATGGTGGCGGTGGGGTTATGGTATGGGCAGGCATAAGCTACGGACAACGAACACCATTGCATTTTATCAATGGCAATTTGAATGCACAGAGATTCCGTGACGAGATCCTGAGGCCCATTGTCGTGCCAATCATCTGCCGCCATCAGCTCAAGTTTCAGCATGATAATGCACGGCCCCATGTCGCAAGGATCTGTACACAATTCCTGGAAGCTGAAAATGTCCCAGTTCTTCCATGGCCTGCATACTCGCCAGAATGATCACCCATTGAGCATGTTTGGGATGTTATGGATCGAAGTGTCCGACAGTGTGCTCCATTTCACGCCAATATCCAGCAACTTCGCACAGCCATTGAAGAGGAGTGGGACAACATTCCACAGGCCACAATCAGCAGCCTGATCAACTCTATGCGAAGGAGATGTGTAGCGCTACATGAGGCAAATGGTGGTCACACCAGATACTGACTGGTTTTCTGATCCACGCCTTTACCTTCTTTTTTTAAAGTTCAGTATCTGTGATCAACAGATGCATATCTGTATTCCCAGTCATGTGAAATCCATAGATTAGGGCCTAATGCATTTATTTGTATTGACTGATTTCCTTATATGAACTGTAACTTAGCAAAATCTTTGAAATTGTTGCATGTTGCGTTCATATTTTTTGTTCAGTATAGATTGTTTATTTGTATGTGTTGGGCTTTAGCTGAGATTATTCTTTACAGAGTGTAATGGTCCATGCCTCAATTGTTCTTTGACTAGCACCATTCATTCTCGCTGTCGATAATTCTAATGTTATAACTTCTAATAGTAACTGTATCCACTGGTGAATTGGGAGAGAGTGGGATGACTGCCATCTAAGACCCAACATCTTTTTTTGCGGCAGGGTTGCCTGCCAGCAGTAATCGTCTCTGATTGATTGAGAGATTCAAGGAGCTATCATCGTTAAGTAACATAGCAGATACAACACATTTATTATTTACATTCATACACTTCGATCACATATCTGACATACAGTGGGGAAAAAAAGTATTTAGTCAGCCACCAATTGTGCAAGTTCTCCCACTTAAAAAGATGAGAGAGGCCTGTAATTTTCATCATAGGTACACGTCAATTATGACAGACAAATTGAGAAAAAAAATCCAGAAAATCACATTGTTGGATTTTTAATGAATTTATTTGCAAATTATGGTGGAAAATAAGTATTTGGTCACCTACAAACAAGCAAGATTTCTGGCTCTCACAGACCTGTAACTTCTTCTTTAAGAGGCTCCTCTGTCCTCCACTCGTTACCTGTATTAATGGCACCTGTTTGAACTTTTTATCAGTATAAAAGACACCTGTCCACAACCTCAAACAGTCACACTCCAAACTCCACTATGGCCAAGACCAAAGAGCTGTCAAAGGACACCAGAAACAAAATTGTAGACCTGCACCAGGCTAGGAAGACTGAATCTGCAATAGGTAAGCAGCTTGGGAGCAATTATTAGGAAATGGAAGACATACAAGACCACTGATAATCTCCCTCGATCTGGGGCTCCACGCAAGATCTCACCCTGTGGGGTCAAAATGATCACAAGAACAGTGAGCAAAAATCCCAGAACCACACGGGGGGACCTAGTGAATGACCTGCAGAGAGCTGGGACCAAAGTAACAAAGCCCACCATCAGTAACACACTACACCGCCAAGGACTCAAATCCTGCAGTGCGGGACCAGGACGACTGATCCATGTAAAGGAAAGAATGAATGGGGCCATGTATCGTGAGATTTTGAGTGAAAACCTCCTTCCATCAGCAAGGGCATTGAAGATGAAACGTGGCTGGGTCTTTCAGCATGACAATGATCCCAAACACACCGCCCGGGCAACGAAGGAGTGACTTCGTAAGAAGCATTTCAAGGTCCTTGAGTGGCCTAGCCAGTCTCCAGATCTCAACCCCATAGAAAATCTTTGGAGGGAGTTGAAAGTCTGTGTTGCCCAGCGACAGCCCCAAAACATCACTGCTCTAGAGGAGATCTGCATGGAGGAATGGGCCAAAATACCAGCAACAGTGTGTGAAAACCTTCTGAAGACTTACAGAAAACGTTTGACCTGCGTCATTGCCAACAAAGGGTATATAACAAAGTATTGAGAAACTTTTGTTATTGACCAAATACTTATTTTCCACCATAATTTGCAAATAAATTCATTAAAAATCCTACAATGTGATTTTCTGGATTTTTTATTCTCATTTTGTCTGTCATAGTTGACGTGTACCTATGATGAAAATTACAGGCCTCTCTCATCTTTTTAAGTGGGAGAACTTGCTCAATTGGTGGCTGACTAAATACTTTTTTTTTTAAATACTTGTAATATCGTGTGTATTTATGATGCAATATTCCTGGGGAAATTGGCCTACAATTGTAAATAATTAGTAAAACAGGCTTTAAAACACAGACACACTACTTAATCTTTCCAAAACATTAATACATCTCATTACTAATGTGATATATTAGGGTAAGCATATTAGACTGATTATTAGTCATGGTCAATTGGTGTGCACCGGGTGTTGTCTGTAGTAGAATAGTGTGATAGTAGCCTATGAAGGCATACCTGCCTGTCATGTTGACTGATTAACCTAAATGTCCCATAGCAAGAATTTCATTAAGTACACTCCTCTTAAAATGTGTAACTGTGTGTCACAGTAATGTAAAAACCCTCTTCTGCCCAGTCCAATCAGCCTCTGAGTCTAAGCAGGCTAAATAGCAGTGCAGTGAATAGCATCCATATGGCCCATTCATACTGTACTGTAGGCTGTGTTCTGTCCTCTCTCATTGTCCACCTCCCCCAGAAAAGTATATAAAACATAACTGCTAACGCCATGCGAAATTCATTCAATATGAATGTGATATAAGGTTCTAGTTTTTTGGCATTCTCTCTGTTTCACTGTGGAAATCGCCAGTTTGCTCTCAGTACCACCTGTAATCGATTAAACATTAGAGATGGATTTAGGAAATGTAGTATTTTCTTCATGTCTCTGTAGTATGAGCTGCTCTGATGGGGATAGCTTAGCTAAGGCTCTTTATTGCTTTGGACTGTTGGGTGCTTCTCACATTGTAGTCATAATGTAGGCAGGGATTCAGAGGAAATCTCTGGCTTGGCTGGAAACGTTGCTCTGGTTTAAATAGAACATCGTTTAAGTTTCTCGTTCCAGTAAATATGCAGTGTCATTTTCTGTGTTCTGGGTGGGACCTATGAGGTATACTTCCTGATTAGCCAAGTAAGATAGAATACTGTAGCTATGTCCAACAGGTGGAAGGACCATAATGTGAATGTGAATGGTTCTGACTGACCTGGTCCAGTGTTGTGCCTCCACTTGCAGCTGCACCAGGGCCTGCAGGTCTCCCATCTTGGAGTAGGTCTCAGAGGAGTAGCCATGGCGCTCCATCTTATCCAGTTTACGGGCTATGTCAATCAGCCTGGGTGAGATCAGACGGGGTGTGTGGGGTTTGGGGGTTGAGTGTGTGTGTGTGTGTGTCAGGACTCGCAGAGGACCCCTTACAAATCACATATCTCCTATAAGCGCATCACACCACACTTAGGAATGAGGCCTAACTCACTCACACCCGAATGTCAGCTGTCATGCCTGATAAAGCTTGACGGGGCCAACCAGTCTTTCCCTGTGTTTGTTATACTGAGGCTGCCTTAGCCTAGGTGGTCTGGGCCAGAGTGTGGGTGTGATTGACAAGCAGCAGACACAGAGAGGGGGGCCCATGGGGAGCTCTGATAGAACCACAGGACCGAGCCTTAGCCATCTGCCTGCCTCCCAACCACACGCACCCACCACGCTTTCCCATGACTCACAGGAGGGAAGAAGGGAGGAGAACCAAGACCTGTGTGTGTGTGTGTGTGTACGTGTGTGTGTACGTGTGTGTACGTGTGTGTGACCCACAACTCAGCCGTGTTCTCCTATGATGTCGATGGCTTTGCGGTGTTCTCCTGCAGACAGGTACATCTGAGCAGCGGCCTGCGGCTCCTTGCTGTTCTTAGCCCAGTCTGCCTGCTTGGACATCAGCATGTGAGTGTTCTTAGGGTCTCTCACACCCACAAACTCCTACAGAGGGACAGAAAGAGAGGGAGAGAGAGAGACAGAGGCCCATCTGGGTCACGGTCTGGAGAGGCGGGACATGGAGTCACACAAACAGGACCAGGATTCCCCCTCCGGTGTCCACCAGCGCTAAAACAAACGGCCTCGAGGACCAGATGCTCACACAGCCACATAAATATACAGCAGCCACAAAACACACACACACACACACCCAGGGGAGGGGAAAGGAGTCAGGCCTGTGTCATCTGCTTCAGTACTGTGAACATACACACACAGTTGGTGATCAAAGACCACTCCACACATAAACACACTTAACAGGAGATCGCCTCAACTTCAACTGACCCCCTCATAAAATTATTAAGATCCAACAACTGACACTGACGCCCCACCACCAATTATTACTGTGTATGTGTGTCACATGGAAACATGTTTAAAGCCACAGCCCCTGTGTGTGTGTGTGTGTGTGTGTGTGTGTGTGTGTGTGTATCTACAGTATCTTGGCTGACTCAAACAGGCACAGGTCTCACATACTGTATGTAAAGCCTGTGTGCAATGTGCATGAGTGTGTGGGTGTATAGGCATATTATAACATTTATGGAAAGTCTATGTATGTGAATGTCTAATGTCTTGAACATGTACAGATCTAGGGTATGAGTACAGATCTAGGGTATGAGTACAGATCTAGGGTATGAGTACAGATCTAGGGTATGAGTACAGATCTAGGGTATGAGTACAGATCTAGGGTATGAGAGTGTGTGTGAGTCAATCAGTCCTCATACTCACCTTAGCGTACTCAAACATGTGCAGGTCAGTGAACATGCTGAAGACTCTGGAGTCCAAGCCAGTCCTCTTGCAGAGCCTGGCAGCCTGGTGGAATTTCCCCTGGTAGGCATAGACATCCGCTAGGAACAGCTCACTGTCGCTCTCGCCAAAGAAAGAGAGAGATGAGCTAATATCAGCCGCTCAGTAAGTTTCACCCTAGTCTGACCCTGGACTGTCCGCCCATAGTCTCACGTATTCCATACAGTATGCACACACACAGACACAAAGCCTATTTTGTGGAATTCAATGATCCATTGTTTCCACATCTACCCTCAACATGCAAAAAAATAACATTACTATCAAAGACTGACTTTTCCCTTTTCAAACTGCAGCCCCCGAGGCAGGTCTAATCTTACCACAAAGAATGTCCATGAAAACACATGAATGTATTTATATTCCTAAATATACCCAGGAGATCAGTTCAGTTCACATAAAATAACGCATTCTTCCCTTTACTAGCCCTTTGTGTGTGACTGCGTGCCTGAGTCCACGTGTGTGTATGTGTATGTGTATGTGTATGTGTATGTGTATGTGTATGTGTATGTGTATGTGTATGTGTATGTGTATGTGTATGTGGGAGGACAGTCATATGCTGGGCCAGTAATGAAATGCTTAATGAGGGCAACCCATGCGATCTCAAGTTTCCCCTCCTCTGTCTCGCTTTGATGATGTGGAGTTTTCTGGTCAGCCAGTAAATCCACCCTGATTAAAGCTATGTGGTCTGTTCTGTTTTCTACAGTGACAAACTCTTTGATCTTGGAATTATACCATTTGGACTAATCCATTATTCATTTTAAGCGGTGTCATATTGTACCTCAATGCTGTTGATGAGCTCCAGGTAGCACAGGTCTCGTACTCGGATGAAAGCCTGAGAAAGAGAAACACAAGGGAACTCCTCGCGTATCCCCAACAGCACACATTTTTGTTGTAGCCCCAGACAAAAACACCCGATTCAACTTGTCAAGGGCTTGATGATTACAAACAAAAATATGTACTGTTGGGGGTACTCAAGTACCAGAGTTGGGAAACACTGTCTTACAGTATCCAGAGAATCCACTCACACCACATCCTTCAGCTATTCTCACACTGGTCAACCAAGCATGAGAGAGGTTCTTCATATTAACAGCATCAGGCTGCACCATCTAGTGATGAACACTAGCATTGCAGAGAAAAAGTGTGTTTCCGTGCGAGTACATTCTCGTCTGACCTTCTTAGCAGTGAAAGTCAAGCCCTTCCAGGGCATCAGTGGCCAGATGCTGTCAGTCACACCCAGACAGGAGATCTGATAGACCTCCTTGAACATCCTCCTCTCCAGATACTGGTAAATAGGAGCCAACTGGGGAGAAGAGATGGGAAGGGAAGGGGAAACCAATTCAACAAACAATAAGAAACGTAGAAAGAGAGAACAATGTAGCAGTGGTACCATTAACACTTCAATGAAAATACAGCGCGACAGTGATCCTGTTGTTTGAGCCCCGTCTAAGACAATGTGGAGATGTCAGCAAGGTAGCACTTAATGCGCTCTCGTGTGAGTCGCTAGTATTAATATAATATCAAATATATAAAAGAAACCTACATTGATATTACTTTCATGTACTCTATGGGTGATCACAGATACTTTTTCCACAAGTAAAAAATAACTGATCTATGAATTTATCCCAACGAGATATGTCGCATCAATTGGCCCAGCGTCGTCCGGGTTTGGCCGGTGTAGGCCGTCATTGTAAATAAGAATTTGTTCTTAACTGACTTGCCTAGTTAAATAAAGGTAAAATTTAAAAAATTAAAAATCAACAATTGATCTGACAGTATGACATCTATTGCGTTTACATCAGTCGCATCTTATCACATTTATAAACACAGGGTCGCTACAATTATTGTTATTTGTGGTTGTAAAAATTATTTAGAGTTAATTCAATGAGGGGCAAGGGTCATGTGAAAATATTTTTTTATCGCACCTCGAGTGCTCCCCCCCCCCCCTTAACTGTCCCTTAATATAGCTTTCTAATCTTACTATCCAGATGTTTCATTCTCATTCAATGCTCTGTGAAGATAAAAGTCTGATTGTATTTGACACAGCCCAGTCAGAGGTTAGACAGTCATACCAGGGAAACCATCAGCCTCAGTGGTGAAGCTGTAACAGGGCTTTTAGAGACAGATCTAAAGCACCTCTGTCACAGTTAGCTCTAGACCCAGAGACACAAACCAGGGAGGAAACCACCAGAGACATCCAGCCAGGTTCCACAATGCTGTGGTGGTAACCTCTCACTCTTCCCTGTCTCACTTAGGCTGTCTAATGGCTGAGGAGGCGGGGGAGAGACTCTGAGACAGAGCCCCTAAAGGAACACAGATACAGCTGGAGCCTTTAAGACGGATAGGCAGGAACATCTGGAGGACCACTGGGTCTAAGCGTCCCTCTCTGGCCTCTCTCTGGGGTGTTTTAGAGCAGCGATGCAGTGCTAAACGCTAATTCACTGGGTTTCCATCATCTTAATAGCATGCTAATGTCTTTTGGCGGGGTCTTTCACAATCTGTCACCAATGCATTAGTGTAATTTACATGAGCCGAAGTCGCTGCAGGTTAGTGTTATTGACTCAGGCCAAATAGTTTGTGTTGCACAGGAGGTTGGTGGCACCTTAATTGAGGAGGATGGGCTCATAGTAATGGCTGGAACAGATTAAATTAAATGGTATCGAACTCATCCATTCACTCCGTTCCAGACGTTATTATGAGCCATCCTCCCCTCAGCAGCCTCCTGTGTTGTGTTGGTATAGCGCTTTAGGGAGTTGTTTGTCACCAAGTGTTTGAGAAAAGCCTGAAGCCAAAAGCAAATCCCTAGAAAATAGTTATTAATCAAAGTATTTAGTCTAAAAACAGCTATATTTAACTGTACAAATACTATGACCATCTACTACCATAGTGTAAATGTGTGTCTGGGGGTAGTAGGGGATATAGTATGATTTTGTACTGGGTATAAGTCTCACCTGACACAGGATGATGTGCTCTGAGCAGACCATGAGCAGGTTGCACTCAAACTTCCTGCAGATCTTCTCCTTGATGCGGTAGTACATGTCGGAGGATTCGTCAGAAATCGTAGATGAGGATCTTCTCAGGCAGCTGGATGGCCAGGCGGTTCCTGTTGATAGCTATCTTCTTAACCAGCTCTCTGCACTTAATCCTCACTGGGCATGGAGAGCAGGTATAGTAAGCACAGGAAGTCCAGTCAAAAAATAACCCCTAGCCCTAGCTTCACTTAACTCCTACACCTTTAGTGTTTACAGATCTGAAGGGACTGGATAGATCTGACATATGGGCAGGACTCTACATAGCCTTCCAATGTACTTCTTCAGGGACCTTCTGCCATATTGCTTACACCCATCCATTTCCATCAGATCTGCTAACACAGAAGATGTAAAGGAGCTAAGGGAAGTACAATGTACAGGCATTGAGAAGTACACTGCACTGTTTAAGTCAATCCACCTTTCTGTTCAGTGATGAGGTGCTGGACGATGACGTTGTCATGCTGTCTCTGTAGGCGTAGCGGTCTTTGTACAGGCCGTGCACCGTGCTGAAGATGAGTTGGAAGAAGGCTATGGTCCGTCCTGGAAGCCTAACACCTACACAGAAGACAAAGAGAGAACAATGGAGCAGTGTTTCCCATTAACACTTCCATGAAAATACAGCGCAACATAGTGTTCCTGTTGTTTGAGCCCGGTCTAAGACAATGTGGAGATGTCAGCAAGGCCTCGCCTGGTTCACCAACTAGAGTTCAATGTGTCAAATAGGAGGGCCTGTTGTCTGGACCTCTCGCAGTCTCTATGGGGGTGCCACAGGGTTCAATTCTCGGGCCGACTCTATTCTCTGTGTATATCAATGATGTCGCTCTTGCTGCTGGTGACTCTCAGATCCACCTCTATGCAGACGACACCTTTTTGTATACATTTGGCCCTTCATTGGACACTGTGTTAACAAACCTACAAACGATCTTCAATGCCATACAACACTCCTTCCGTGGCCTCCAACTGCTCTGAAACGCTAGTAAAACTAAATGCATGCTCTTCAATCGAACGCTGCTTGCACCCGCCTGCCCGACTAGAATCACTACTCTCGGCGGCTCTGACTTAGAATATGTGGACAACTACAAATACCTAGGTGTCTGGTTAGACTGTAAACTCTCCTTCCAGACTCACATTAAGCATCTCCAATCCAAAGTTAAATCTAGAATCGGCTTCCTATTTCGCAACAAAGCCTCCTTCACTCATGCTGCTAAACATGCCCTCATAAAACTGACTATCCTACCGATCCTTGACTTCGGCGATGTAATTTACAAAATAGCTTCCAACACTCTACTCAGCAAATTGGATGTAGTCTATCACAGTGCCATCCGTTTTGTCACCAAAGCCCCATATACTACCCACCATTGTGACCTGTACGCTCTCGTTGGCTGGCCCTCACTACATATTTGTCGCCAAACCCACTGGCTCCAGGTCATCTATAAATCCCTTCTAGGCAAATCCCCGCCTTATCTTAGCTCATTGGTCACCATAGCAACACCCACCCCTAGTATGCGTTCCAGCAGGTATATCTCACTGGTCATCCCCAAAGCCAACACCTCCTTTGGTCGCCATTCCTTCCAGTTCTTTGCTGCAAATGACTGGAACGAACTGCAAATATCTCTGAAGCTGGAGACACTTATCTCCCACACTAACTTTAAGCATCAGTTGTCAGAGCAGCTTACCGATCACTGCACCTGTACACAGCCCATCTGTAATTAGCCCACCCAACTACCTCATCCCCATATTGTTATTTACATTGTTATTTATTTTGCTAATTTGCACCCCAGTATCTCTATTTGCACATCATCTTCTGCACATCTATCACTCCAGTGTTAATACTAAATTATAATTGTCATTATTTTGCACTATGGCCTATTTATTGCCTTACCTCCACAACATACTACATTTGCACACACTGTATATAGATTTTCTATTGTGTTATTGACTGTACTTTTTGTTTATCCCATATGTAACTCTGTGTTGTTGTTTTTTTCTGCACTGCTTTGCTTTATCTTGGCCAGGTCACAGTTGTAAATGAGAACTTGTTCTCAACTGGCTTACCTGGTTAAATAAAGGTGGAATTATTATTTGTTTAAATAAAAGGTAGCACCTAATGCTCTGTCGTGTGAGTCGCTAGTATTAATATAATGTAAATATATCAAATAAACCTACATTGATATTAGTTTCATATGGGTGATCACAGACACTTTTTCCACAAGTTAAAAATAACGGATCTGTGAATTTATCCCAACGTGATATGTCGCATCAACACTTGATCTGACAGCATGACATCTACAGCGTTTACGTCAGTCGCATCTTATCATTTCCGTTCCACGTTCTTCACAGCATGTCTCAGCACCATGTCAGCTCTGTTTTAAATTACAGCGTTCCAATACAGTTCCCTTCAGACACACGCACATACACTCTCTCTCATACACTCTCACACATTTATTCTAATGTACACACACACACACACAGTCACTAAAAGAGACCCACCATATAGACTCCACAGGTCCACACCAAGGAGCTCTGTTCCCCGATGGTGCAGAGCCGCACCCAGTCTTTGGTGTAGAGGGAGGCCTGCTTGTCCAAGCCGCCCATCACAATGTACTCCCCCTTGGAGTCATAGGTCAGCAGGAGTCATAAATCAGAGTTCTGTCCTTCCCAATCTGAGAAAGACAGAGGAACAGACATTGAAATAACAAGGAAGTCTACTTCATATTACAGTTTTTCCCAATTGCTAAAACACAATTTTGCAAACTAGGCTGGTTTTATCAAAATACTTAACACAATTCACAAAACCACACACCCAAACTGCAAAATACCTCATACAGTGGGGAGAACAAGTATTTGATACACTGCCAATTTTGCAGGTTTTCCTACTTACAAAGCATGTAGAGGTCTGTAATTTTTATCATAGGTACACTTCAACTGTGACACACTGTCCACACACTCAATCAAACAGACTCCAACCTCTCCACAATGGCCAAGACCAGAGAGATGTGTAAGGACATCAGGGATAAAATTGTAGACCTGCACAAGGCTGGGATGGGCTACAGGACAATAGGCAAGCAGCTTGGTGAGAAGGCAACAACTGTTGGTGCAATTATTAGAAAATAGAAGAAGTTCAAGATGACGGTCAATCACCCTCGGTCTGGGGCTCCATGCAAGATCTCACCTCGTGGGGCATCAATGATCATGAGGAAGGTGAGGGATCAGCCCAGAACTACACAGCAGGACCTGGTCAATGACCTGAAGAGACCTGGGACCACAGTCTCAAAGAAAACCATTAGTAACACACTATGCCGTCATGGATTAAAATCCTGCAGCGCACGCAAGGTCCCCCTGCTCAAGCCAGCGCATGTCCAGGCCCGTCTGAAGTTTGCCAATGACCATCTGGATGATCCAGAGAAGGAATGGGAGAAGGTCATGTGGTCTGATGAGACAAAAATATAGCTTTTTGGTCTAAACTCCACTCGCCGTGTTTGGAGGAAGAAGAAGGATGAGTACAACCCCAAGAACACCATCCCAACCGTGAAGCATGGAGGTGGAAACATCATTCTTTGGGGATGCTTTTCTGCAAAGGGGACAGGACGACTGCACCGTATTGAGGGGAGGATGGATGGGGCCATGTATTGCGAGATCTTGGCCAACAACCTCCTTCCCTCAGTAAGAGCATTGAAGATGGGTCGTGGCTGGGTCTTCCAGCATGACAACGACCCGAAACACACAGCCAGGGCAACTAAGGAGTGGCTCCGTAAGAAGCATCTCAATGTCCTGGAGTGGCCTAGCCAGTCTCCAGACCTGAACCCAATAGAAAATCTTTGGAGGGAGCTGAAAGTCCGTTTTGCCAAGCGACAGCCCCGAAACCTGAAGGATCTGGAGAAGGTCTGTATGGAGGAGTGGGCCAAAATCCCTGCTGCAGTGTGTGCAAACCTGGTCAAGACCTACAGGAAATGTATGATCTCTGTAATTGCAAAGAAAGGTTTCTGTACCAAATATTAAGTTCTGCTTTTCTGATGTATCAAATACTTATGTCATGCAATAAAATGCAAATGAATTACTTAAAAATCATACAATGTGATTTTCTGGATTTTTGTTTTAGATTCCGTCTCTCACAGTTGAAGTGTACCTATGATAACAATTATAGACCTCTACATGCTTTATAAGTAGGAAAACCTGCAAAATCGGCAGTGTATCAAATACTTGTTCTCCCCACTGTATATCCTGCAAAATGAAGCACTGCAACCAAAACTACATATAGCATTATCAAAATCAAATGTTTGCACGAAATGGCACACACTTCATTCATATTACCAGATGTTTGTCTAACCAACTACACACTGTTGGGTATAATGAAAAGCACTCTCATCTTTAGTACGCTTTGCCATAATACTAAAATAGTTCAAATTGTAGAATATTCTTCAGATTGTTCACATGCACAGAAATATTTGCAGATACACACACATGCTGTTGAAACATTTATTTATTTTTCACCAAACAAGTCAGTGCAACATATGCACAGCAGATATATTTACATTGGACTGAACAAAAATATGCTCACAAAAAACAGTAAACTGAAAAAGAAAATTGCAGAAAAAATGTGCAGAAAAAATATATAGAAAACAAAAGAGGCAAGAAAAATAATTAGGCAGCATCTTGCCACACAGCTGGGTCTGGCCACGACGCCTCGTCTACATCACAGGCAATATCTTCACTTGCCAGACATCGAGGGAAGAAGCGCCTTGAGTGCCTTATCCATCCCTGAATCGCACCCACATCAATCTCATCACATTCCATAGCCTGCACAAGAGGCATGCGCACAAAGGGCTGCCGGTCGTATACCTTCCACCGCCATGCCGAAAATAACTATTCTATGGGGTTCAGAAATGGTGAGTATGGTGGGAGGTATTGCACGAGAAATGGTGGGTGGTCAGCAATCCAGTTTTGGACTGGGGCTGCACGATGAAAGCTCACGTTGTCCCATACTATAACGTACCGGGTTCTTTGATGGTCTGCATCATTCATACGCTTTGGTGGTATGAGAATGTTGTGGAGTCTGTCCAGAAATGTGAGAATATGGGCTGTGTTGTATGGTCCAAGGTTGGCATGACAGTGGAGGACACCATGCGTATTGGAAATGGCAGCGCACATTGTGATGTTCCCACCACGTTGGCCAGGAACATCTATAATGGCTCTGTGGCCAATGACGTTTCTCCCCCTTCTTCTGGTCTTTGCTAGGTTGAACCCAGCCTCATCTATAAAGATGAACTCGTGTGATTGCATGAGCATCCATTTCCAGTACTCCCTGAAAACAAAGAACAAAAGCAGTCAATATGGTGTTATCCAGTACACTGGGAAACAATGTTGCGTGTAGTGTACTGCAGTCAATATTGTACTTACATCCACATATGCTCGTCTGACCTCTTTGTTTCTTTGAGAGTTTCTCTCAAACGGAACCTTATAAAGTTGTTTCATTCTGATTTGGTTTCGCTTGAGAATGGGAGCCAATGTGGACAGACTGACTCGTTGAATATGGTGTTGTCTTGGATGATGTGGCTTTGAATTTCTCGTAATCTGATTTCATTATTTTCCAAAACCAAGTTTACAATGGCAGCTTCCTGTACCCCGGTGAACATTTGGCCCCTTCCTCCACCATGGTTGCGTCTCTCAGTCCTTTAGAAAAACAAAAAAAAATTTAATATAGGGCTTGGACAATGCAGCCTAAAGATATTTCCCCCACAGTAGAGTAAATTGTACAGGAAACTTGTGCAGTTAGTGTATGACATCAGCCATTCATGAAGTAAACAGGTGTCACCCAACTGATACACAATGACATGGGGTGTACTACATAGTGTGAAAGACATTTTGGTTACATACCTGTACTCCAGTCTAAATGTCCGGATGACACAGGCGACAGTAAAATGTCTCAAGTTGGGCTGCACTCTCTGTCCAGCCTCTCGCATTGTCAGCCCATGGTTGATGACAGGATCAACTAAGGTTGCTCTGATTTCATTTGCAAGTTGTTGTCTTCTTTGGCCATGAACTCTTCTACCAGCTCTACCCCTACCTCTCACTCTTCCTCCCCCTCTCATTCTCCCCCTCCCTCTTCCTCTTCCTCTCTATGCAACGTCTTCCATTGTTGACCTGTGGTCTTTTCATAGTGCTTACTTCCTGATTGAAGTGGTAACAATTAACCATTGAGGTGTTTGGCCAGGTGGCACATGTATTGGCCAATTAGCTCATGTAGTGTCATTTTGAATGGCAGTGTTTTGAAATGGCAAACATGTGACTTTATGTCAGATTGTTGTGTCTTGTGCAGAGAACCATGTGCAGTGCAATTAAAAAGTGCCATTTTGAATTGCAAAATGTGTGTAAAGCAGAAAATGTGTTTAGACTTTTGGAGACTTGAGAAGAGGTTTTGCTCTCTGTGTGTCAGTTTAAATAATTGTGCTGTGCATGTCATTTTAGTGTGTTAGCAATTGGAAAAAAAACTGTAATTGACCTTTAACTGGGCTGTGCTTGTCTAGGCCAATACTTTCCCCTGACTGGGGGTTAGTCTCAGATGAATGTCCTAAAAATCGTCTGTCCTCGGTTGCAACATTCACTACTCACTGCCTCTGGAAGCAACGTCAGCACACAAGCCTAAGATCACCATGCGCAATGCCAGGCGTCGGCTGAAGTGGTGTAAAGCTCGCCGCCATTGGACTCTGGAGTGATGAATCACACTTCACCATCTGGCAGTCCGACGGACGAATATGAGTTTGGCAGATGCCAGGAGAACGCTACCTGCCCCAATGCGTAGTGCCAACTGTAAAGTTTGGTGGAGGAGGAATAATGGTCTGGGGCTGGTTTTCATGATTCGGGCTAGGCCCCTTAGTTTCAGTGAAGGGAAATCTTAACGCTATAGCATACAATGACATTCTAGATGATTCTGTGCTTCCAACTTTGTGGCAACAGTTTGGGGAAGGCCCTTTCCTGTTTCAGCATGACAATGCCCCCGTGCACAAGGCGAGGTCCATACAGAAATGGCTTGTCGAGATCGGTATGGAAGAACTTGACTGGCCTGCACAGAGCCCTGACCTCAACCCCATCGAAGACCTTTGGGATGAATTGGAACGCCGACTGCAAGCCAGGCCTAATTGCCCAACATCAGTGCCCGACCTCACTAATGCTCTTGTGGCTAAATGGAAGCAAGTCCCTTCAGCAATGTTCAACATCTAATGGAAAACCCTTCCCAGAAGAGTGCAGGCTGTTATAGCAGCAAAGGGGGGACCAACTCCATCTTAATGCCCATGATTTTGGAATGAGATGTTCGGCGAGCAGGTGTCCACATACTTTTGGTCATGTAGTGTATTTAAGAAACAACTTGAGTAACACTAACAATTTGATATCAATGAGATGGGCACATGTAGTAGTTACAGAAAATCTAATATATACAGTGCATTCGGAAAGTATTCAGACCCCTTCCCTTTTTCCACATTTCGTTACATTACAGCCTTATTCTAAAACGGATGAAATTATTATTATTACTCCAAGGAGTCTTAACATGTTCTCATAGAGCTGATGTTTTGACGAGCCTCCATGAAATGCGCAGCCACCGGGTTTCTCTGGCCATGAGTCCTGATATTAATCCTGTGTTCTGCTATCCTTGTTTTCAGAGCTAATTTCCTTTTTTCCTACATAGCATACATTTCCTACATTTCCTACAGTGCTCAAGACGTGCCAGTATTTTTTAATGATATGGTTGAACTGTTTGCCAAGTGGCGAGTATTGAAGGTTGCATTGAACTCGCTGGTCAGGGGGGTGGGGTGGTTTGGGCGTGAGGCTGTCATCCTGTGTCGTATCTTTGTATCAGGAATATGGCATCATTTGAAATGTGGTCTCACCCATTAAAACAATAGGGAAGTTTCTCTCATATTTATGGACCACAGAGTGGGCCAAGGCTTTCTCCAGACCACGACCTAGTGGACACATCAAAGTCTACAGTCCTTAGCAATCCCGTTAAGCGCCTGACCAAATAGATGGAAAAACACATACACACTCTCTTGTTTCTAAATGGGCTCTATTGTTCTGGCACTTGAAGTCCATTGACGCAACGTCATATCAGTTCCCGACTGTGCATCTGTTTCTCCTCTGAAAAATAACCGCCTGACAGTCCATTTTCTGCCCTGAAATAAAACCATTTTGGACAACCTCCCTTTTTTTATTACAGATTATTACTAGCATGGTAATCAAACCAGCATGTTCACTGAAACCGATGAACAGCCCAGTGACAACACATGAGACTAAGGTTTCATGGCAGGGTAATGAAACAGTTCATTTTTTCTATAATTACAGTATTACCCACGGGGATATGGGGGAGGAGTAGTGAGGGGATCATTATTAAACGCTAAACAGGATCACCTCCAGTCCAGTGTTATGGTTTTGATAGTGCCTGACAGGCTGATTGCATACAGGCCTTAAAGGCCTAGTGAAGTGTTATCAATACATTATGGTGGCCTGTGGTTTATGTGTTATCGCTCGTCGCCACAGCAACGGGGAAGCGTGATAACACCCAGGCCATTGACCAATCACCGGTGCCCACTTGGGAGCAGAGCCTCAACCTGTTGTCGTAACATAGGCCTCTTGATCTGTACATAACGACCATGGAGTTTATTGCTGTGCTACACACTGATATACTTTGGATTGTCAATCGTCAGAGTATTTTCCATGATACTTTCTATGAAGCAAATTTGCATTTTTTTCACCATTGCATTTTTTACTAGATATGCTATGTTAGACAAGTAGCCTATCTATTAATTTGCTGTGGAAACAAACCCTAAATGTTATCTAATATGTAACCAATATCCAGATGGGCCAGTAGAAGTCAAAAACATTTACTACATTTTAGACCAGGGGTGGGCAAACTTTTTGGCTTGAGGGCCACACAGATTTTTTTGGGGTCGATTTCTTTTTCAAAATCAATTTGCGAGCCAGATAAAGCGCAGTTATTTGAAAATGTATAGGTCCGTTATCATTTTTACATACTTTCTATCAAGTTTTAGATGTTCAAGGGTGGCCTGGGGTGGGTCATTGGGCTCATCACACCAACATGAGTCTTTCCCTGAGTTTTGATGTTACCTCCCTTCCTTCATGCAGTGGTCTTGGTCGGAGAACACTCCCTGCAGCAGGGGCTCCCTTCCTCCTCTCCCTGCATGCCTCTCTTTCTCCAGCTGCCTGCCCAGCCCCAGGCGCTCCACCCTGCTGCTGCAGCTCTGGTCTGGCTGTAGGGGGCGTCAGTGAGCAGGCACAGGGGCTCTGGCATGCCGCTGTCAACATCCACTGCCTCACAGAACTGCATCCACTTCCACCAGTCCCTGTCAGAGCTCGCCTGGTCAAACATTGACACCTGCTGGCTGTCTATAGCAAATACATTGGACTTCTGCTCCTCTATACTTTCACTACCTTGCTTTTGTTTCACAATGATTGTGAACTGGCAGCTTATTAAAAGGCTCCATACAAAGATGACATATCGTTTAGAAAAATGTATAATTGTTGCTTTGATGCAGCTGAACCTTTACTCTTGAAGACAAAGCACACTCTTTTTAAATGAGGTTAATCACACAGCAAACAATAAACACTCATATTCTTGAAAAGAAAACCGTCAAAACTGATCACCACTGTTTGGAATCACATTCCCATAGAGTAGGAGGAGAGTGACTTGGAGGGCTTGCATACGATGGACCAGATAGGAGAGGAGGTCTCTCTATCTTCACCTTCTAAATCTCTGTTCTTGTTCCTGATGCTCACCACCCCGTCCATCATGCCCAGGGCCAGGTACTGACTGTCGTTAGTCCACCTGGGGTCAAAAGGATTATGGCAATCCTGACCATAAAAGAATATAACAATAGAAGAAAAGAACAACAAATACTCAGTACTCACCCACATGTTATCTTGCTGCTGACTTTGTGCTTGGATTAATCAAATGGCCACCCGGACTATTTGCATTGACCCCCCCCCCCCCCCCTTTGTTTTTACACTGCTGCTACTCGCTGTTTATTATCTATACATAGTCACTTTACCCCTACCTACATGTACAAATTACCTTGACTAACCACTACCACCAAACATTGACTCGGTACCGGTACCCCCTGTATATAGCCTCATTATGTTTTACTTAGTTTATTTAGTAAATATTTTCTTAACTCCATTTTCTTAAAACTGCATTGTTGGTTAAGGGCTTGTAAGTAAGCATTTCACGGTTGATCTACACCGGTTGTATTCGGCGCATGTGACAAATACAATTTTCTTTGATTTGATTTGATACAGATTTCTGCTCTGGGGACCACAGACCTGGAGAGAGAGAAACAAATGATACTATAAATGATATGGTGGTGTTCCACTTCTGACTAGATGTGTTCAACACCTCTTTAACCCCTTCCCTATAGAAGTGAGCATGTCGAGGACAGGACAACCCCAGTGTAATAATCACCAAAGTCCCCAGAAGAGCAGGAGCATCTTTACCCATTTACATTTACATTTAACATTTTTACATCACACAGCAAACAATAAACACTCATATTCTTGAAAAGAAAACCGTCAAAACTGATCACCACTGTTTGGAATCACATTCCCATAGAGTAGGAGGAGAGTGACTTGGAGGGCTTGCATACGATGGACCAGATAGGAGAGGAGGTCTCTCTATCTTCACCTTCTAAATCTCTGTTCTTGTTCCTGATGCTCACCACCCCGTGTACATGTACATATTACCTCAATTACCTCGACTAACCTGTACCCCCGCACATTGACTCGGTACTGGTAACCCCTGTATATAGCCTCGTTATTGCTATTTTATTGTGTTACTTTTTTTTCTTAACACTTACCTTCCTGTTCAAGTGAGCACAGCACAACAAGGTGAGTCCAATAATGTATTGTCTGCTCAGGGTTGCCAGGTCAAGTTAACATTTCTAACCCAAAAGACCACACAAAAGGCCTGAAAACTAGCTCAATTGTTTTTTTTACAGCAAGAGAGGAGTTGCCATATCTATACAATAAACAATTTTTTTCCATAACGTTATCGAGCCAATTAAGAAGGAATATCAATATTGTAACTTGTAGCGACGTTAGATGCAAAATGTGGGTTTCCTCAAAATAATAAATATTACAAGCTATGACATGACATAATAAAGGAATTTGAATATGTGACAAGAGAAAATATAATTTGCCCTTATTAAACTCGGCAGATCATTTTCCCATCAATGGATGTCGATTTAACTCACTTGACTGCTATGATTAAGCAATAAGGCACAAGGGGTATGGTATATGGCCAATATACCATGGCTAAGGGCTGTTCTCAAGCACGACGCAACGCGTAGTGCCTGGATACAGCCGTTAGCCGTGGTATATTGGCCATATACCACAACCCCCCGGGGTGCCTTATTGCTATTATCAACTGGTTACCAACATAGTTAGAACAGTAAAAAGTAATGTTTTGTCATTCCCGTGGTATATGGTCTGATATACAATGGCTTTCAGCCAATCAGCATTCAGTGCTTGAACCAGGTTTATAATTGTAAATAAATCCTGTTTGCTCATGTGCATAACTATAGATAAATCCGACAGGAGAGTTTGAGTGATGAAAGTTGGACAGAGGATCTTGAAATCTCTGAGCAAGAAACACTTGGATGAACATAAAAAAACTCATGTCAGGCTAATTTCTGGCAATTGTGCTGTTATTATATGCCAAATGTTAAGACTACAAACCATTATAAATGGTCCATTTGTGAAATTGAGTTGTAATTTCAATAGGCATAGGCTACAGACTTGGGTTTATGATTATAATTACATTTTGATATACACAACCAGTCAAAAGTTTGGACACACCTACTCATTCAAGGGTTTTTCTATATTTTTACTATTTTGTACATTGTAGAATAATAGTGAAGACATCAAAACTATGAAATAACACATATGGAATCATGTAGCAGCCCAAATGTGTTAAACAAATCAAAATATATTTTATATTTGAGATTCTTCAAATAGCCACCCTTTGCCTTGATGACAGCTTTGCACACTCTTGGCATTCTCTCAACCAGCGTTATGAGGTAGTCACCTGGAATGCATTTCAATTAACAGGTGTGCCTTCTTAAAAGTTAATTTGTGGAATTTATTTCCTTCTTAATGCGTTTGAGCCAATCAGTTGTGTTGTGACATACAGAAGATAGCCCTATTTGGTAAAAGACCAAGTCCATATTATGGCAAGAACAGCTCAAATAAGCAAAGAGAAACGACAGTCCATCATTACTTTAAGACATGAAGGTCAGTCAATACGGTGCTGTTCAAGTGCAGTTGCAAAAAAGTGCCATCAAGCGCTTTGATGAAACTGGCTCTCATGAGGACCGCCACAGGAATGGAAGTTACCTCTGCTGCAGAGGATATGTTAATTAGAGTTACCAGCCTCAGAAATTGCAGCCCAAATAAATGCTTCACAAAGTTCAAGTCACAGACACATCTCAACATCAACTGTTCAGAGGGGACTGTGTGAATCAGGCCTTCATGGTCGAATTGCTGCAAAGAAACCACTACTAAAGGACACAAATTTGAAGAAGAGACTTGCTTGGGCCAAGAAACAAAAGCAATGGACATTAGACAGGTGGAAATTTGTCCTTTGGTCTGGAGCCCAAATTTGAGATTTTTGGTTCCAACCGCTGTGTCTTTGTGAGACGCGGTGTAGGTGAACGGGTGATCTCCGCATCTGTATTTCCCACCGTAAAGCATGGAGGAGGAGGTGTTATGGTGTGGGGGTGCTTTGCTGGTGACACTGTCTGTGATTTATTTAGAATTCAAGGCACACTTAACCAGCATGGCTACCACAGCATTCTGCAGCGATACACCACCCTATCTGGTTTGGGCTTAGTGGGACTATCATTTGTTTTTCAACAGGACAATGACCCAACACACCTCCAGGCTGTGTAAGGGCTATTTTACCAAGAAGGAGATTGATGGAGTGCTGCATCAGATGACCTGGCCTCCACAATCACCCAACCTCAACCCAATTGAGATAGTTTGGGATGTGTCGGACGGCAGAGTGAAGGAAACGCAGCCAAAAAGTGCTCAGCATTTGTGAGATCTCCTTCAAGACTGTTGGAAAAGCATTCCAGGTGAAGCTGGTTGAGAGAATGCCAAGAGTTTGCAAAGCTGTCATCAAGGCAAAGGGTGACTCTTTGAAGAATCTCAAATCTCAAATATATTTTGGTTACTACATGATTCCATATGTGTTATTTCATAGATTTGATATCTTCACTATTATTCTACAATGTAGAAAATAGTAAAAATGAAAGAAAAACCCTTGAATGAGTAGGTGTGTCCAAACTTGACTGGTACTGTAGTTTGCTTAGATAAAGGAAGGTAGCCTATAGCCCCTGATAGGCCTACATCTCATTTCAGATAGTCTACAGTAGCCTAGACAAGATATAGGCAAGATGTAAACTGAACGAATTAGCAGCTTGCTTAGTTCCAATTAACATACTAATTTATTCAACATGAATAGCGAGGCAGTTTCGCAATAAGAAGTGCTTGTTTCCCCAATAGCCTGCTGGAATAAGCTACTGAGGATGGGGTCATAATTTCAAATATTAATAATATGTATATGAACTGAATATGCTTGTCAACAACAGCCAGTGTTTATTTTTTTGGCTACACAAGTGGTACAAATAGATTTTGCAATGACTCCAGTGATATCGTAATTTCAACATATTTATTGTATCAAATGGTAGCCTACAATGGCATATACATTAATAGGCTACTTGATGGCCAATAGAGACAAATGTATAATTCTCCACATTTAGCCGAATGTCAGTTTCATTGAGGACTTTTCCCCATAAAAAGAGCCACGCGAGGGAGTTCCATAATTTCCACTTCAAATTTCCACTGGGGCAGCCCCGGAGACACACGAATTGTGCATGCATAAAGCTCTTCGCTTGATAGCGTTTTCTTTAAACAGTCAACATTAGAACGCAGTTTAAACCACCGCCGAGCAGATTTATGTAATGAGCTCTAGTGCGCCCAAAGTCGTTTTCCAGTGCTTTGTTTCCATTATTTCTTGATGTGCATCAGTTCTAGTGTATTAATATGTTTAGTTGAAAGAGGTTTGGAAATAATGACAATCTAAGTAGCCTACCTACAACTGGAAAAAAAAGTTGTAACAACGTGCGCGCGTGTGTTGTTCTCGCGTCTCTCTCTCTCTCACGTGACTCCTCCCCACCACTCAATTCAATTCAATGGGCTTTATTGGCATGGGAAACATATGTTTACATTGCTAAAGCAAGTGAAATAGATAATAAACAAAAGTGAAATGAACAATACAAAATTAACAGTACATTTTACACTCACAAAAGTTCCAAA